TTGTATTGTATGCCAACCCTAACTGAAAAGCAAAATGAGAAGTCATGAGGGACCCAGCTCCTCTTCCAAGATGCTCTCCCAAATTGCTATGTTAGGTAGAGAATAACATACCTTTTAAGATTTTACTTACTGTAAAATGCTCCCAGATATCTTCGTTTTATTGGTGATCTTCATCGCAGTATCAAAGTGGTGTTTCTCCCTCAAAACACCATGTTTTTAATCCAACCAAGGAGTTGGATCAAAGGAGATAGAGCCGCTTTTAAGGCCGACTGCCAGAGGGAGATCCTTGCTCAGGCTGCTGCTGCAGTGGAGGGAGACACTGATCTAACTCTGGAAGGTACAACATCCATGACTGCGTCAGGGGCCTTGCTTAGGTTTAGGGCGATGTCACCCAGGAGTGTGTGAACAGCAAATGGAAGAAGACCCTCAGGAGGTTGTCCATGACTACAAAAGTTTTGCCAAGAACAGGAAGGTCGCAAAAATCAACAAGGCTGTGTGTGGTTGAGATGGCAACCAGCGACTTTAAGCTGAAGTGCGGATGAGGATGACTAGAGGAGCTCCTAACCATGACTCCTGAGGAACTGACTAATAATGAGTGGTTGGGACTGGAATAGGCACACATAGGTGAAGAACAAGCCAGAGGAAAGGACACCACTGCAGGAGCAAAAAGAACCCCAAGAAAATTCACACCGAAGGGTTAGCAGAAGCTTTTGCAGACCTCGACAAGCTCTTTAAAAAGTTTGAAAACATGGACCCCAACACCACAAGGTTTTCATTAATAGAATATTCGTGGTGCATTATCTGCTTAAGAGCATATCTGTGATGATAAAAAGAAGCAAACCACCATGCATATATTTGTGTCAAAAGTGACATCTCTTCGAGAAGAGCCTCGGGCAGGGCCTTCAGGAGATGCTCCCAAAGAAGGCATTGCTACCCTGGCAGAGGACCGCTCTGTGTGTGGTGTTGACAGCAGGGACACATTCTGAGGAACCTGTGACTGATTGGAAGACAGCGGTTAGTCTAGGCCTCACCCTTCGTGGTTCTAGACTTGTGTGTGTGCTTGTGTCTTAAATTTTAACAAAAAAGAGTAAGGAGTAAAAAGAAAATAAATAGGAAAAAGCTTACATAATAAAGGTATAAAGAAAATATTTTGTATAGCTGTACAATGTATTTGTGTTTGAAGTTAAGTATTCTTACAAAAGAGTCAAAAAGATAAAATTTGAAAGTTCGCTAAGTAAAACAGTTATAGTAAGCTAGGGCTAATTTATTACTGAAGAAAGGAAAATAACCGTCTCTAAGTGCAGTGCAGCCTGAGTGTGCAGTGTTTATGGAGCCTACAGCCAGGCACAGTGATGCCCCAGAGTTTCACGCTCCCTCACCACACACTCACTGACTCACTCAACAACTCCAGTCCTGCAGGCGCCACTCATGGTTAGTGCCCCACACAGTTGTACTACTTCTTCTCTTTTATACCACATTCTACTGTACTTGTTCTATGTTTAGATACATAAATACTTACATTATGTTACAGTTGCCTGTGGTATTCAACACAGTACCATGTCGTATGGGTTCGTATCCTAGGAGCAGCAGGTTATACCCTGTAGCCAAGGTGTGTGGTAGGCTCTGCCCCCTAGGTTTGTGTAAGTGCACTTTAAGATGTTTGCACCACGATGAAGTCACCTAATGACAGGTTCCTCAGAATGTGTCCCTGCTGTCAAGGGGTGCAGGACTGTAGAGCAAAAGATAAGGTCGGGTGAAGTGCCAGGTTTGGAGAGCAAGGGAAGATGCGGTGACGGTTCTGAGATATTCAAGAGATTAAACTAATTGTCCCCTGTATGTCCGCTCTTAATCTGAGACCATCTCATCACCTCTTCCATACACTATAAGGACTACTGACTAGATTTGCAGGAGCACATCAGTCATCCCTGGGGACTTGACGCTGCTATACAGAATTAGCGAGTTCGAGAAGGATACAGTTGGAAGGAGTGTTTGAGACAAGCTTCTGCCAGCCAACTGTTTTGCAAATGCAGGTGCCGAAAACACCTTAAAAATGGAAAGCTCTACGAATTCCTTACTTCTGAAGTTAGAATGACAGTGAAAAAGAAGAAACAAGAAACCACAGGTCAACCATTTTAACTCCTATACCAGGAGCAACCTTGAGCACCTCTCTTCAAAAGGGCATTTCGATGACTACTGAAGATCACAGTGACGGTCAAGAAACACAAGTGATCCTAGAGAGGAGTCTGATTTCCTTCAGTGAGAAGCCCCACACGTGGCGTGCCGGTGACCTTCATATTGGTGTTGGGAATTAGACGTCTGAGTTACGATGAGCAGTGGTGTTGGTTTTCCTGGGACTGACCATGTTCAGCAGAAAGTTCCCCAGGGGACTCCTCATCCTGGACAAACCAACCGGGACCGTTGGTCACCCTGCATTTGACTCAGTTCTTACAGCAAGTTCTTTTTTCACAACTTGAATCTGTTTGATTCTTTTGGTTTTTAAACTGAGTTACAATTTACATATAGTATACAGATCTCAACTCTATAATTCAATGAATGTTTACCTGTTTATATACCATATAATTTTAGAAAATGCCACATCACCACAAAACTTTTCTGGTATTTTGGTTCGGAACAGTTACCTCTTTCCTCTTGTGTTCAGTCTGCTTTTAAACCAATCTGAGCTCTTAATTTCAGTTACTGATGTCTTGTAATTACAAAAGGCCCAGTTGATTCTTTATTATAGATTTTAATCATTCTCTGTTGAAATAATGCATCTTTTAATCCATTTTGGTTACTTTTTTTCTTTAGCACATTGATCATAGTAATTTTTAAGTTTTTTCCTGCCGCCTACAAGGACATCTTTGAGACCGCGTCTGTTGGCTATTTTCTCTCTTGATTATTGGTTACTTTTTCCTGTTTCTCTGTAGTTCTATTAATTTTTTACTTGATGCCAAATTTAGAGGGTGCTGTGTCGCGGAGGCTTATCTGCTCACAAACAATATTAAATTTCGATTTGATGGGCAGTTAAATGACTGGTGGGTCACCTTGATCTTTCTGAGGCCTGGTTTTAGGTCTTCTTAGGGCAACTTCAGTTCTCACGGTGTTGGGTTTACCCTCGAGTATGGCCTCTGTGGAGTTCCACCTGCCCGCCCAGGCGTTCACCCAGGTCTGTCTCTTCTGGCGGGGCCTAAACACCAGTCGTCTCCCCACAGTGATGCAAGTTTCATCATCTCTCATCAGTTCTCACCTTTTCAGAAATAGCGGCAGCTATTTCTGTCGCTATTCTCTGCCAGTCTGCTGGAGTCTTACCTGAACACGGGGCCCAGGAATCGACCAAGCGTTAAAGTGGAATGAACATGAAGATACTGGGCTTCCCCCTGTGAGGCTTTCCTTCTTGACAGCCGCCTCCCTCAACACCTGGCCACTTTCCCATTCATGATCTCCAGTCCCTGCCTCTCCCACCCAGTGAGACTGCTACTGCTCGCACCGTTTCCTGGACAGCGTTCTCAGGGAGGGACCCTGGGTCAGTGTGGGGCTGTGACAACGGCTGGCTGGCTCGGTGGTGCTCACTTCAGACCAACTGCTCTTGTTCTCATGCAGATTCTGCTTAGACCTTCTGCCTTATACAGGTGCTTTTTAAAGTAAACCTCACCTTTCACCAATATTAGGGAGTTACTCAAGGTTTATTATAGGCCAGATACTTTTCATATACTTTGTGTTTTATGGTCTCTGTAACAAGCACATAAGAAATACCCCTGGCTGGTGTGCCTCAGTGGATTGAACACCAGCCTACAAACCAAAGGGTCGCTGGTTCAATTCCCAGTCAGAGCACATGCCTGGGTTGCAGGCGAGGTCCTCACTTGGGAGCATGTGAGAGGTAACCACACATTGATGTTTCTCTCCTTCTTTTCCTCCCTTCCTCTCTCTCTAAAAATAAATAAATAAAATATTTTTAAAAGAAATAATAATAATAATAATAATACTTATATAGCATTACCAAGTGCCAGGCATTGTCCTGAACATTTTATATACCTCATTTGATATTTTATGTATTCATTTAATCCTCATATCAACCCTATAGATGGGTACTATTATTGTTCCTACTTCACAAATGAAGAGTCTGAGAAGCTAAAGACTAAGTAATGTCTCCTCCAAAATGCACAGTCTGTGAGGGGGAGTAGCCAAGTCTTCCAACCTTGGCACTCTGGCTTCAGAAAGTGTGCTTTTAACCACTTCACTGCTGGTGGCACTGTTCTCATTGTACAGCTACGGAAACTGGCGTCAGAGAGGTTAGGCCGTCTCCCCGGCATCTCCGTGCAGTGAGTGGTAGCACTGGGATTTGCACCAGGCTTCAGAGCCCTTGTTCTTTCCTCTGTACTTCCTCCCAAAGAGAGAGAGAGAGAAAACTTTATTCGTTTAGGATGTTAGTTTAATGGGATTTGGGGAGAATACTGTGGGGATTTAAGAGGAGACCAGACAGCTTCCTTTTGGTCTTCATGAAGATATCTTCTCACGCATACAGTTTGCTGGCTGATTCTGTCGGGGCATCGGGGAGGGAATGGTTTACCCCATAGACGTGTGTTCATTCTGAGCACCTCTCGGAATGGCTCCTATGAGAGGGTATTGGTGGCTCCAGGAATGCCGGTTTGGGGTGTGGAAAGATGGCAGAGCTCAGCCTTGAGGTCCTCTGCCAACACTGGGACATGTGGTGCTCGCCCAGCATGTGCTCCTTCAGGCAGGAGCACGTGTGCTCTTGGGTGTGTCATACATGTGCCAGCTGGAAACAGAGGCCTTGAGAGGGTTTAGAACACCAGCTGTCTCTGTGCTGCCTGGTGAGATGTGGAGAGGAGGCTGGTTCCACTGGCAGGGAGGTCAGGCCTGGTGTCCCCCTGAGCCGTGCAGGGTTCTTGCACCTGATCCCAGAGCGCCTTCTCTGAGGGAGCCACCCAGAACCCATGTGTCTCTCCTAGTCTCTGATACCGACCCCCCTTTTTTTGCAGTGTGGAGGCTGCCGGCATTGGATTTGTCATTGTCATCGACAGACGAAGGGACAAGTGGAGCTCCATAAAAGCGTCCTTAACACGAATAGCTGTAAATATTTATTTTTGTACTTTTTCTAGTAAAAGTAATTTAAATGGTCTATTCAATGATTTCATGTCAGAGTCACTGGGAAAAGGTGATTATTTTATGCCAAATTTTGGGGAAGGTCTTTGTTGTGTCCACCCATATCCCCTCTTGCACCTTATGGTCACTGCAGGGAATTCCTGAGCATGTCAAGGGCTTCCTGAGTCTCTCTCCTTCATTCATTTCTGTGGTCACTGAAGAAGGGTAGGTAGAGAACGCTGGGAAGTTAATACCCCAGGAGTGACCTACCCCTATGGCGTCATGGGATTTGGTGAGTAAATGCCCCAGGTCCAGTGGGATGATTCTGAGGTACTGTCCATACAGTGTCTGGGAGGGGCCCAGCCTCCCCGCGCCCAGCAGCACCCCTCACTGACACACTGGCTCTCTAGCCATCAGTGTCTCACCCCTACCCACGTCCTCACTGCGCGTCCTGGGATCACCTCCTCAGTAAACTCTTTATACCTGAATCCTTGCCTTAGGGTTTGCTTTGGGGGTCACCCACTTTAAGACAATCTTCATTTCAGTATTCATATTTTTTTTCTTCTATATATTTTAAGAAAGACACTGGCTAACCAGACAAAATGATATTTAAGTAGCTCAATTGAAGGTGTGCTTACTTTTTAGCATTAAATTGTACAACCTAGGATGGGTTTCTTTTTTATCTTATTAGCCTGATTTTGACCCCTGTTTGTAGCTTTTCAGCAAGTAGATGTGTCCTTTCTCTGTAGGGACCTCAGACCAGAAAGCTCAGTCACATGGGCAGGCAGGGGCACTTCAGGGCAAACCGCACCAGCATTTCCGCCCACGCAGGGACTCCCGGGCACAGTTGGGACTGGCTGAAGGGGACGGGATGTGGTAGGGGGGCAATGCTTGTGTAGAGGCGGGGAAGGGAGAGGGGCATTTGAAACCTCACGTAGGCCCACTTGCAGAGGCAGTCCCACGTGCACATGTGCGCATGCGCAGAGTCAGTCTCTCAGCTCACTTCAGAGCCGTAGCCGGGCTCACAGAAAGTGTCCCAGCTCCTCTGTCTTGCGTGACATAACAAATGCAAGCGTCTTCTCTTTAGGGCCTTGCGTGTCCAAGATGGTAGGAGGGAAGTCTCCCTGTATGCCTGGATTGTCTCGTCCCTCTGGTTTAGTTCTGGTTGCTAAAACCAAGTTTAGAATGTAGTTTAGGATTTGGGGGGTTAACTGCAAAGACAATTGCTGCCCTGAGGACTCGGACACTGGGCGGTGCCTGTGACTCTCCTGCGGTCTGGTCTCTAGAGATTCCTGATTTCCCCGGGGCCACAGGGAACACTTGAATCATCGAATACTTGAGCCGAATTTGTCCAAGAATTACAGTGACCACTGTGCATAAAATATACTGTAGTATGGGGTCCTTGGATACCAGTCACAATCTCTTTACATACTTATTGAAAATACAGATATCTGGACTTCATTGAAGCCCTGATGAGTCAGAACATTCAAGTCAAAGAGCAGATTTTTTTCTCTAACAAGCACCTTGGGAGGTCGCTTTGGGGAGCCACCGGAAGCATATGAAACCTGAGCGAAGGGGGATTTGGAGGCCCAACGTTGCCACTGCGTTGTTATGTGATTCTGCGTTGTCTCGTTTCTCAGGACCTCACCTCAAGATGAACAGTGTTTCCTGAAAGCACCTTAGCGATATATGATCAGGAGCCTAAAATACCGGGCCTTTGACTCAGCAATTCCTTCAGGAAGTTATCCTAGGAAACTGTTTCAAAGTGTGAATAAAGATGTTCCTGTCACTGTTATTTAGAATAGCAAAAGTTATTTATTGTTATCACTGTTATTTAGAAAATGCCTAAATCTCTAGCAATAAGAGATAGTTAAATAAATTGTGCGCCCATGAAACATAATATTTCCAAAGAATTTTTAATAAATAACAAGAATAAAAGCTCATGGTATTAATATTAAATGAAAAGGTGGGTCACAAAATATTTCTGCAATATGAATTTAACCATGATAAAAATGTTTAAGCAGAGAAAATAGCTTATAAGTAATTATATTAAAATACTAAAAATAGCAGAGATCATAATTGGTTTTCTTTTTCTACTGTATAATTTTATTTCCTAATTTTTCTATAAAGAATATGAATTGTGTTTATAATCAGAAACACTTTTGTGTGTTTATTTGGTTTAGTTTGTTTTTAAGGAGAGGTTGGGACGATCCGATCTCTAAGATCTCTTTCAGCTCCGAAGTCCTGTGACATACATTCTAACTCTTCGGCATCCACGGCGTCCACTTTAACTTTGTTGTTTGTGAGGCAAGAGGAGACCAATGGATGTGATACTCACTCTGATGCTTTCCGTGATCCTTCCAGGTAGCGTTTCCGGGAAACTTGCAGCTCATATTCATCCTTCGTCCCTCCCGCTTCATCCAGAGGACACTCACTGACATTGGCATTAAATACTATCGAGATGAGTTTAAAATGAAAGTACCGGTAAGCATGACTTTTATCTTGTCTTCATTTGGTGAGGGCAAGTGGGGTAGATGGCGTTGGAGCTGGGTTTTTAGGAAGGTAGGACTCCACAGTAGAGAGGGAGGGAAGGACATCTGGGCAGAGGGAACAGCGTGTGCGAGGACATGGAGGCAGGAAGTAGACACTTCATGTGAGGCTGGCCCATGGGGAAGCCCCTTGTTGGAATACATATAGGGTAAACTTTTGGAAGAAAAGGTAAAATACATGGAATCAGTCTTACATATAAGGCTGAAGGGCACGGGTTTCACGCAGTAGGAAATGGGGAGCCAGTGAAGATGTGTGAGTGGGGGAGTGACTTGGGGAGGTGGTGCTGGAGTCATAAATCTGAAGTGGTGTTCCGGGCTGCAGAAAGAGATCGGAGGATGGAGGGAAACTGCAGTGGCATGGGTGGAAGAAAAGGCCTGGAAGATGTAAGTACAGGCAATTGTAGAAAAAAACCTCAACATTGTGATACTCATAAAAAGAAATTAAATTAAAAAGACAAAATTAAAATACTTACCTATAACTTTGGCAAAGATGCGAAGGAAACTGTACTTTCCTACTTTGCCGAATGCAGGAATGCATTTGGTAATGAACAATATGAAGGATTAATCAGCAGTATTTATCACAAATTAAAATGTACACTTGCTTTGACCTACGTATAGGAGTTATTCTACAGATACTCCCATATATGTGCAGAAAGCCACACACACAATGGTCTTTACTACCGAATTGTTTGTCATAGTAAATAGTTGGAGATAACTTAGTGTCCAACGAATGGGCCTGGTTAAATAAACTGTGGCATACCCAACCGTTTTAAATACTTTGCAGCTACTGAGTGGGGTAAGGTGTGGTGAAACCACAGTGGAAACGGTTGGCCAGTTCCTTATAAAGTTAAACATGAACCTGACCTCTGACCTCCCCCCCAAGAGAGATTAAAACACATGCCCACAAAAAAGCATGCCCAAGAATGTCCCTCAGCCGGTGAATTGATAAAGAAATTGTGACATAGAAAGATAAATACTGTGAGATTTCACTTACATGTGAAATCTAAAAACAAACGAGTGAATAAATAAAACAGAAACAGGCTCGTAGATACAGAAAATAAACTGATGGTTGTCAGAGGGGTGAGGGTGGAGCTGTGGGTGATGAAGGAAGGAGAGTAAGAGGTGGAAACTTTCAGTTACTAAATAAAGAAGTCACCGGGTTGTAATATATAGTGTGGGGAAAATAGTCAGTAGCATCGTAATAGCTTTGTACAGATGGTTCCTGGACTTCTGGGGACACATTTTAAGGTATATAGATGTCTAATCACTACATTGTACATCTGAAATCAATACACTGCAAGTCAAATATACTTTAACAAAAAATAAATTTGAAAAAGAAATTGTGATATATTCGTATAATGGAATAACATTAAGCAATAAAAAGGGCTGAAGCAATGATACATAACAACAGCATTAGATGCATCTCAGAAATGTTCTCTGGAGAGAAGGAAGTTAGACATTAACAAGTACATGCTCTGTGAGTCTTTTAGTGCGAAGTTGAAGGAGAGGCAAACCAAGCTATGGAGTAGAAAACCACGCTGGCTGCTGCTGGGGTGAGGAGCAGTGCAGATCGATTGGAAGGAGGCGCAAAGAGACTTTCTGGGAAAATGCACTATATCTCGATTGGATGGTGTTACATGTGTGTATACATTTATCAAAACTCATTTAACTCTATTGTTAAAATCTGTGCATTTTTAAAGTGCAAGTGATATCTCCATTAAAAATGAAAAAAGAAAATATATAAGATAAATCTGTGGTGTTATAGAAAAGTTTCTAATATATATTTCTGGTTTAGTTGGAGATAATTTCAAACTCATAAAAAAACCTCAAAAATAAGAATAGAACAAAGAATAGTTTATGCTCTTTACCCAGATTCACTTACCTATTGTTAACACTTTATCCCCATTTGCTTTATTATTTATTATTTGCTTCTCTATATACATTATTATATATATAGATGTACACATCTATGTATTACATATTATATTATGTGTATCCATATATAGATGTGTACATCTATATATTACATATTATGTTACTATAATCAATACCTGTACTTTTACATTAATGTATTATATAGTATATAGATACATATACACTACACATATAAATACTCACATTTATCTTTATATAGTATAAATATTATATATATGTTACACAATACAGAGGTAAAAGTACATGTAAAATATACACATACACACATGTATACATAGTAAATGATTGGAAACAACTTCATGCTCAACTGCAAGGGATGGGTTAAATAAATTATGATCTGCCCAAACAATGAAATACTTTGATAATACTTTCCTATATACGTAAATACTTTAATAAGTATATACACATACAGAAATGTGCATGCCCTCTAGAAGCCCTCGAAGCTATAAGGAAACTCGTCCCAGGGCTGTGGGTGCGTGCGCACACGCGAGGGGTGAGTGTGCGTGTGTACAACAGGGTCCAGTCTGGGACCAGGCAGTGCGTTTAGTTGTCATGTCTCCTTAGTCTCCTTTCATCCGAACTGTTTCCATCCACTTTCTTTGTCGTTGATGACGTCCGCATTTTTTAAGAGGTGGAAACTTTAAACAAATATAACGCACCTCATCTGGGCTGTGTAACGCCTTCTCAGGAGTCGCCTCAGTCTGTGCCTTCCCCATCGGAAGACTTCTTCGTCGGCGTCCTGTCCTCTTCGGGTGTCGCCTGTGCGGGCGCGCGGTGTTCGTCCGCTGCTCGCCGGTGGTGCTAGTTTTGACCCCTAGTCGAGGTGGGGTCCAAATGTGCAAGCGTATCATGATGTTTTTCCTCGCAGGGAGTAAGTAATCCTTGGAGAGAAACTGTTAAGACCATACAAATATCCTACTCCTCAAAAAAAATTCCTCTCTGTATTTAATAACCATTGATGATTCTTGCCTGAAACGATGATTATTATTGGTTACAAAATAGTGATTTTTCAGTTCTAACAATCTCTTGACATTTATTGATCAGAACTTTGCTTTCTACTGTAAGGTACAACTTTCCCTTGTCCCCTAGTCATTTATTTGTCTATCATTATGGATTCTTATTTTTCAGTGGTTTATAATTCAACACTATTCTTAATTGTTTTGGTTCTCAAATTGTCTCATATTTGGCCAGTAGGAACCACTTTATGCTATCTCCTATGTTCTTATGATGTGCCCTTGTCATTTTTTTAGTATTTTCTTACTTTCTGTCCTAACATGATGTTCTAGCTTCACCCCATATGTAATGCGAAAGCCCTAATCCAGCCCTGTGGTTAGCCCTGTCTTGGAGGAGCTCTGGGTTTTTGTGGTGGTACATTAGACCAAGATCTGGATGCTGGGTGTCCTATTGCTACTCAGGTCTCTTTACCGCTAGGCCCTTTCAGTAGAGTATATACATGCGTGCATGTGTATACACATAAGCACACGTGTGTAAGCACACATATGTAATATGAATATATGAATCACAGAGTTCGCACTGATACCTTAAATTGTAGTCCACCTGAGATATATTTTTCAGTGGGGATGAAAAGCTAAGGGAGACTGGCATGTGAAGTGTGCTTCCATTTGAATAAGCAGGAGGGACATGTATGGGGTGGTGCACCCGCACATCACAGGAGGAAGGACATGTAGGATTTACAAGAACCTGGTGGAAATAGTTACCTCCTGGATGTAGCAGTGGAGACCGAGGGTAGGGTGAGAGGAAGGCTGTTTTTCTACTTAGAATGACTGTCTCTGTTTGGATTTATTACCACCTACACATATGATTTGTTCAAAAGAGCAAAAATCCCCACTCTAAGTGAAATTGCTCTGAGAAAGTATTTAGCCCGTCTCAGTGATAACTGACCATCTCAGACATAGGACTTTTCTCATTTTTTTCTCTTTGCTTTTCACTCTTATTTTTCCTCTTTTGGGTTCCATTTTATATTAATAATCAAGTTTATTAAAATACTTTCTTCCTATACTTTGGTCTCAAAATGAATTTCTGATTCCATTTTTTTTTAAAGATTTTATTTATCTTTAGAGGGGAAGGGAAGGAAAGAAGGAGAGAAATATCAATGTATGGTTGCCTCTCATGAGTCCCCCACGAGGAACTGGCCTGCAACCCAGGCATGTGCCCCGACTGGGAATCGAACGGCAATACTCTGGTTCGCAGGCCCGCGCTCAATCCACTGAGCTACACCAGCCAGGGCTCAAAATGAATTTCTGATTCCAATTTAAAACTTATTTTAAAATATCTGAGTGTTTAAGGGAAATGTGAGCCATGAATTTTTTTTCTATTTTTCTAAATTGAGTAACAGTTAAGATTGGGGAAGAAATTACGACTTACAAGAGGTTAATGAATTTGTCATAATACACATAAGCTTTCTTTTCCCCTTTGGAGATGAAGAGTGGTCAGTTGCTTCTAGCCACTGAAAATGCTCTGGAGTTTGAATGGAGCATTTGCCCAAATGCCAGATGTGTTTGTTTCCCTGGTTGTGTATAAAATACGCCTCTCCAGGCGTTAACACGTACACAGGAATGTACGTGATCCATGTCCCACTTTTCATATGGTGTGTCTGCACTAAAGACAGAGTGAACACTATTTTGTCTCGACAGTGTGTCTTTAACTACTTCTGTTTGTGGTGATGTGTCGATTCCCTATCCATCATACTTTTAATTTTAAACTAAAATCAGCTTTTTAGAAAACTCTCAATCACTCAAACTATTGGCACATTTAGCAGGGTATCTGTTAATGGAAAAGTTTATCCTGTGGGCTACTGTTTCACCTTAAAGAGAAGATTGTCTTCCCCTCGTAGCTCAGATGTGCTGCAGAATTCAGAGTCCTAGGTTACCAGGCTTGATGTAATCAAACTTGAAAATATATTTCGTTTTTGAAGTGTTCAAGCTGTTGGTTGTCTTCTTCACTTTGTTTTGAAAATTAATCTGTAACAGGTGTTCTGAGAATGTACATGTTAAATGCAGTGCAAACTGGTGCTGCCCTGGAGGAAACAAGCATGAGCTTGAGGATGAAGTTCATTGTACTCAGAGGTCCCAGGGAGGCGGTCACACAGGCCCCTGGGGGAACGCTGGGTTTGGCCAGAAGGCTGCAGCACGATGGAGAAAAGCCTAGCTGAGTCCTTTCTGGGGTTTCCACGGGAAAGATGAGAAAGCAGAGTCCTGGCAAGTGTGGAATGCACACCTGCCTCTCCTGTGCAGAAGGTGGAGCCGAAGATGTGCCACCTGGCAAGATAGTTTCTGAAACTGCAGGCTGTGGGGCAGCTCACGTCTGCCCAGTACCATGTTGCATAATGGTATTTTTCTAATTCCAAGTGTCACCATAATATTCTGAGAAGAAAAGTCATTTTTCACTTGATAATTTCTTGTTATGTGTCCTGTAATTTCTAATTGTAGAAAGACTGAAAATACTTTGAAACTCCCAAAATGACTTAAAGATTTTTGGAAAGAAAGGTACAGACAGATTTAGATTGTTTTTTCTTTTTCTGTATCATAAAAATAATTTTTAAAATTCCCAAGCTCCTTCAGAAATGAAGGAGGAAGTCCTGGGCCCTTATGAGGTTGCAGAGTGGACTGCAGCAATCATGTGCCACGGACCTAACGTCCTGGAAGGCAGGGCCTGTCGGGTTTACTGTTTCACCCCTTGGCGTCTGACGTGTATTGGATGTTCCACACATATTTACTAGATGAATGAGTCCATTTATTTTTAACTTACAGACTTTGGGCCCTAACCTATCTCGTTTTCATTCCGAAGTGGGTATATCGCTGGACTAATACATATGTTAATAGAAGCCTATATTCTCATATTCTCTGAACAAAAATCAATTTTTAAAATTACCAACAAGAAGGGAAGGACTATAAGTTCATTAGATAAAAGCTTCCGGGGCTGCACCTCAGAGGTAGGAATGAGCAGGGGGTGTGCTATAGTGAGGGGCAGAGCGCCAGGACCCTGCCCGGGGGCCCTCTGGAATGTGTCATCTTGCTGTAGACGTGTGGGCGTTCACTCACCAGCATGGGGGCGTTCAGCAGCAGGCTCGTTCATTTACGAAAACCCACTCTGTTACCTTCCCGTCTCCTCCACAAAGATCAGATGGCGGCATATCAATGTTCCTCATGGGGGTGCATGGACATAGTGAATCTTTATTAAAACTTTTTAAAATTTACAAATTTTGGGGGGAGAGGGGGAGAGACAAAGAAAAATATTAATTTGTTGTTCCACTTATTATGCACTCATTTGTTAATTCTTGTACATACCCCGACTGGGAATTGAACCTGCATCCTGGGCGTATTGGGAAGATGCTCTAGCCAACTGAGCTACCCAGCCAGGGCATGAGTTTTTCTAATACTTACTCCTTAGTAGGTCCTTATATTCCAATTTTATTATGTTATTCATCAGCCCACCCTTTTTAAGAGGGTTTTCATTGCAGATTTTTAGATGTCAGTACAGCACTTGATTTTGGTGGCTGAAGAATATACCTCAAGCTGGGAATTTTTGACAAAAAATCACCTCAGGCAAGACCTGACTTCTAGGCAGCTTAGAGCTGAGCTCCCTGATCCAAGCTGTTGTTTTGCTACAGACCATTCAACATATTGGCATTCTTCTCTCAGGAGGGGAGCGTGGAAGGGGACTTTCTCTGTTGGATATAACAACTGTTTTGGATAGGAGTCCAAGAAGGCAAAGTCGTACTATTTCCATGACAGTAGACTCTAGATGAGCTATTCTTTAATGATCTGTGAGGAATGTATTATTTTTTTCCTTCTCTAGATTGTCCTATTAAGTTCCATCTCTGACCTCCAAGGCTACATTGACAAAAGCCAACTGACAGAGGACTTAGGGGGGACTTTGGACTATCGCCACAGTCAATGGATAAACCATCGAACTGTGAGTACTGGCCTGTGTGCCCTTTTCAGTGTCTCCCCTTGTTTTCCAGGGGGCAGGGGAGTTTGAGGTCAACCATTGGGAGGTCATCACCTATGACTACCTAACCCTGGGAAGGTTGGATTTTCCAAGCCACGAGGGAAGCAGGGAACTAGGGTGAAGGGAAAAGGCTGGGGTTTCTCCCACTGACTACCTTCAGCTTGGCTCCTTTTCTGACACGGGAGTCTCGGGGGCTTGACTTGGAGTGCACCTGGGGAATTTTCAAAACACCGATACCCTGCTCTACCCCAGATAAACTGATTTACATGGGTTGGGATCCATCTCAGGCACGAGTGTTTCACAAAATGCTCCAGATGGTTCTAATGTATAGACAGATTGAAAGCTGTGAAAGCACCTGAGATATATATATATAGATATATAGATATATATAGTGTTTCACTTTTCCCCACATAGTCAAATTGGTGGTTATTCTGCTAAACTGGAAGGGTCAGTAATACTGAGGAGAAAGTGAAGCTGAAACTCACCAAATAATGTGTTTCTGCATAAAGTTGTCATTCCCCTTTCCCTGCTCTTTTAGCCCCCAGAGCCCTGAAAAAATTAGGTTTTCTAAGCAAAATGAAAAGCTCCGTTCACCACCCTTACGACAACTTGTGGTATCAGCACAGGTCTCTGTATCTGGTCACTTTGGACACATGTTACCCAGCACCTGAATGACATTTAATTAGGTGTGAGAATTCACTGCGCTGTAGAGTGTAATGTTTTATGATTTTTTAAAAAAGGAAGTCTAAGAATTGAAACAGATTTCTCACAATTTCAAAGTGACAGATTTAATTCCTCCCTCACTTCTTCATATGCCATGTAATTTAAAAAAAGGCACGTCCCTTCCCCAAACCTGGAGGAAAGCCCATGAACTGGGCAAGCTTCCCTTTAAGCTTCCCGTCAGTTTTGCCATGACAATGGTGACTCCAAGAGACTACATACAAAAAACAAGGCAAACAAACCAACAAATAAGGAGTGTAAATTACATGAATGTGTAATTTCTAAATAAGCGTAAGTATGGAGGGATTATGGGATACGGGATATGAGGGAAGCCGGAGTGGAACATCGCACGGGTGTGACGAGGGTGGTCCCAGGAAGTGATTTCTTTAAATGGCATAAAACACGGCACCCGGAGGCATCTACGCTTGCTTTCTTCACTTGCTAGGTTTTTCATACATTACTTTAACAAGTAAAAGAATTTTACTATCCCACCAGCCTTTTTGAGCTAGCCAGCTCCCCCTTTTGCTCTGATTTCTCTACCTGTCCTTTTTTTTATGATGCTGTTCATGTTTTTCAAGTTGCCTTAGATTTTTTTGACATAACACAAACTTGCAACAAATGAAGTAAAAGAGATGAGTGCACCTTGATGTCATAGACAACAAAGAATTGAGAGAGGTAAAGAAAACTGTGGTCTCGAACACTGATTATTTAAAGACATGACCTGAGCAGACATGCGCATGCACAACCCCTCCCCCCAGGCCTAGTTTTTGCCCTTGGTTTGTGTTTGTGCTTGTGTTAAACATAGTATAGTGAACTTTAAATAATGCAACTAGTGTTGAAACATCGAGATGTTCTTTACATCCTTTTGCATGTTTCATGTATTTATTATATATATATGCATATATATTGTAATTAGAAATACATATTCACAATATCTATTGCCATATCTTATGAATATGTAGATCCTTCTTTAGTAACAGTGTGCTTTCTGGGTGTCACATCACTTAGACTCATAAAAAGTTGGGACTGAAAAGGTCCTAACCTTAAAGGTCATTGATGTCAATCACCTTATTTTACAGGTAAGGAACCTGACTTTCAGAGTACAGAGGTGACTCACCCAAGGTCCTATAGTCAAGTAGTGCAGAGCCAAGACTAAGGCCAGGCTCTTTTTAATTCCTGCCCCCCCCCCCCCCCCCCCCCACTCAGCATGAGCTCCTCTGTACCACTTCCAACGTGATTACTCACTAACCAGACCCTTGGAATGGAGTTCCTGTGCCATTAGGGCCTGTGCAGGAAACCTCTGGCTCTCCTCTCACTCCAGCGTGGCATTTGTAGGCCTCACACCTGGGCCCCTGGGTCGTTTCTGTTATTATTATTACATTCATAAGGTGCCCTACTGTGTCCAAAGTCCTTTTGCATTTGCTGTTCCTTTTGGTCCTCAAAGCCCTGCAAAAAACCTTACCCCCATTTTTCAGACGAGGACGCTGAGACTCAAAGGTGTCACACCGCTCACCCAGGAGGACCGCCCAGTTAGAGATGATTGGCCTCTGCAGGCTAATTCAGGCTTTCAGCTCTCAAAGCCACATCTTTTGTTGATCTAGTTTTATTAAATCTGGTTTTGACTGCCAAGAGGAAACTGTGTTTAAGAGTGCCAGCCCCGAGCCAGATTACCCAGGTTCAATTCCAGTTCTGCCATTTATTTTTTGTATGACTTTGGGAAAATTACTTAGCTCCCATATGCTTCAGTTTCCTCATTTATAGAGCAGTGATATAGGGCAGTGATAACAATAATACCTAATTGAGATGTGTTATAAAAGATAGGGCATGTAAAGCAAAATACTGAACAATCTCATATTTTCTTATAACTCCCTGATAAGTTGAAATTTTTATTATTCATCATAAGCTATTAGTGAATGCAGTTCAAAGAATATCTTATATAGATATGAGATTATGTGAAAATAATGACACTGATGTACTGAAAAGACTTTTTTAGAAGTTAGTGCTTGACTGACTTTTCAGGTCTACAGTACTGTGAGGTTCAAGATCGTGGCTGATTCAAAACAAACTCGTAGATACAAGAACAAATTGAGGGTTGCCAGGTTGGGGGTGGTGAAAAAGGTGAAAGGGATTTACAAGTACAAATCGGCAGTTACAAAAATAGCCACCGGGAAGTAAAGTACAGCATAAGAAATATAGTCAATAATGTTGAAATAGCTATGTGCCAGCTAGGGGCCAGCTGGGTAGTGGACTTATCAAGGGGATTAGTTGGTAAATTATATAAATGTTTAATCACTGCATGGTACACCTGAAACTAATATAGTATTGTGTCAACTGTAATTGAAGAAAAAAAACATGTCAAAGATTGTTCTTCATCAGTGCTTGTGCCAGTGGGGGAGCTTCTGCCCACAGCAGGGCTCAAAAATGAAAGCTCTTGCTGCAGAGAAGACTCAGGTCCTGACGGTGGGGGCGGTGGGTGCTGGGCTCTGTAAGCTGATCACGTCGGCCCCGGCCCTGGCCTCTGGTGTAAGGAAGGGACCCCTCAGATCTGGCACATTCTTTATGATGTGTGTTTGGGTTTTCAGAAATGGTAATATTTCTCTGATAATGTAGGAACAGAAATGACTTTTTCCCAAATGAAAATCAGGATGGCCTCTTTGCTCCGACCATTCACCAGCTGCTGGGTAGGCCACCAGTGAGACAGGCCCAGTGCCACACCCCGGGGGTGGGGGGGAGAGATGAAGGAGACATCGTGCTGCCCTTCGGGGGCAAAATTTTCTCAGGAGCAGAGGGAAATGGCGAGGCAGTGCCGGTCTGGCTGGTGAGATGATTTGTAGGATTTTGAAAAGCCACTCACATTCCACTAACTCTTCTGATGATCAGAGCTACTTTTTCTAGGTTAGGCTACGTGTTTCCGAAAGCACCCTGCCAGAATGCTGATATCTCACTGTGGATGTTAGCTGTGAAGTCACTAACTCATTAGCTGGTATTTGTTTAATGGCAGAGTAGGGTCTGTCTATAAGTGAAAGGGACACAGAACAAGGTAAATTTTTGTAAAGGAGAAGAGAGAGGAAGAGGCCCCCCCAGTCTCTTCCCACATTTGCCATAAATGACTCTGTTAAACGTCACTAGTGACCTAATCACTGCACTCATCTTTTCCCTCAATGTCATATCCTCTCAGCAGCATTTGAGAGGTTTCTCGGTGGCAGCCTGGCTGTGTGGGTGCAGGTGTTGGGAAGATGGAGGGCAGGTACGGGCTAGAAGGGAAGGAAAGTGTTAGTGGAGGCAGTAGTGAGAGGTTCTGCACTTTTCAGCATTTTATCTGGTGTAAATCCTGAGTCGGATTTAGTGTTACATGTTCTTAAGGTAACAAACAGCCTTCTGAAATTGAAAGAGCTGACCTTGTTTGAATCCCACCTGCCTTCTTTTCTTATTGCCCAAGTAATAGGGTCTTGGGCAATTCGCTCGACTTGTTGAAGCTTCCTTTTCTATAACATGGAGATAAGATACCCCCACTCTGGATCACTGAGATGACAGATAAACGTGCAGCAGTTATCAATGGGCCAAGTAGAATACATGGCCCATTGTAGGTACTCGGGAAATAGTAGTGGATTCTACTGTCTTTCCATTGATAACAGATATTGGAGAATGTTAATCCCTCCACATCGTTATGATTTTCTGACTTTCCAGGCCATAGAAAACTTTGCCTTGACATTGAAAACCACTGCCCAGATGCTTCAGACGTTTGGGGCCCACCTGGCTGCAGTGGAGCTTCCTAGAGACGTGCCCTCCACTCAGGAGCTTCTTCAGTCCCACACAAGGCGGCGTGACGGGCTGCAGGTGAGTGGTCGGTGGCCTCTCACAGCCCAGCCTCTGTGTCAGCAGAGGGCCAGCCTCTTCCAGAAAGCTGGGAGCAGAATTAAGACCTCTTCTTCCTTTTCCTAGAGTGACTTGGAGGGTGATGAAATTGTTTTGGAAAAACCATGAAATTATACACTTTAAAGGGTGGATTTTGAGGTATATGAATCATACCTCAATTTTAAAAAAGAAAAGATTCTTGGACCCATAGGCAGTAATAAGATAACTACAAACCCAAAGCAAATATGTACTTTTCTTAACCTGTTTGTAACCCTACAGACTTTCTCTCTTAGCAAAACAGCTCTTCCTATTGTCTTATTCCAAGCTGGTTTTTTAAGCATTGCATAGAGACAGGCAGTCTCCACCCTAAGCCTCAAAGGTGGCTGTCACCTCTGCTTGCTGGCTCACTTAGGCCAGAAACACAGGGCACTGGGCTTACACTCTTAGGTGCTTTATTCAACTAAGACACTGTACTGTGGGTTCATTTAAAGAGGGTAAGAGTCTCATTTTTGTTGTTGTTGTTGAAATAAGAAGTTGAACAGAGGACTTCCGCCAAGATGGAGGTATAGGTGGATGTGCCGTGCCTTCTCACACAACCAAGTTTAGGGACAACTAAATATTAGCATCAGAAAACACAACCAGAACACGGAAAATTGAACTTTTCGGAAGTCCATTAACAACAAATTCTTCAGCCTGACCGGTAAGGGGCGAAACCGGCGTCTCGTGAGGGGTTGCACAGGAGGACTCCGGTCGACGGACCCAGGCGCGAATCCAGACGCACGAATCCAGACGCTCGAATCCAGACGCAGGAATCCAGACGCACGAGTTCCAAACCCAGGATTGGACCTAGTGAGCGACCGAGCAACCCACCAGCGTCACAACCCAGCAACCTGGGAGTCCAAGGCGCCGCTTCTCACATTTAAAGGGCCAGAACAGACCAAAAATGTCGCAGGAAGACCTCAAAGCCCCAGAGATAAATCTAAACGACGAAGAAATAGCAAAACTCTCAGACGCACAGTTTAAAACACTGGTCATCAGGATCCTCACAGATCTGGTTGATTATAGCCACAAATTAGAGAAACATATGAAGGCTAAACTAATGGAAATGAATGGAATTCCACAGGAAACCCATAGCGACAAAAAGGAAACTGGGACTCAAATCAATGGAGTGGACCAGAAGAAAGCAAATAATGGCCAAACAGAAAAGAGTCAAGGAGCAAGAATTCAAAGAAATGAGGAGAGTCTTAGGAACCTCCAGGACATCTTTAAACGCTCCAATATCCGAATTATAGGGGAACCAGAAGGGGGAAAGACACAACCACCAGTGGAAAACTTATTTGAACAAATAATAAAAGAAAATTTCCCCAATCTGGCAAAGGAAACAGACTTCCAAGAAATCCAAGAAGCCCAGAGAGTACCAAAAAAGTTGGACTCAAGAAGAAACACACCAAGGCATATCATAATTACATTAGCCAAAATTAAAACGAAGGAGAGAATCCTGGAAGCAGCAAGAGCTAAGGGGACAATCACCTACAAAGGAGTCCCCATCAGGCTGTCAGCAGATTTCTCAAAAGAGACCTTACAGGCAAGAAGGGGCTGGAAAGAAATATTCCAAGTCATGAAATCTAAAGACCTACAACCAAGATTGCTCTACCCAGCAAAACTTTCATTTAGAACGGAAGGACAGATAAGGTGCTTCTCAGATAAGACCAAATTCAAGGAGTTCATCATCACCAAGCCCTTATTATATGAAATGTTAAAGGGACTTATCTAAGAAAAAGAAGTTAAAGAAACATGAACAGTGAAAGGACAACAAACTCACAGTTATTAACAACCACACCTAAAACGAAAGCAAACTAAAAGGACAGCTAGATCAGGAGTGGAAACATAGAAATGAAGATCTCAAGGAGGGTTAGCAACAGGGGAGTGGGAGGAGGAGACGGGGAGAGAAGGTACAGAAAACAAGTAGCATAGACAGTAGATAGAAAATAGATGGGGGGGGCAAGAATAGGATGGGAAATATAGAACCTAAAGGACTTGAGACACATGGTCATAAGCTAAAGGGGGGTAATGGTGGGGTTGGGGGGGCAGGGTGGAGGGGAATGAAGGGGGGAATAGAACAACTGTAACAGCATAAACAATTCAAAAAAAATAAATAAATTTATTTTTAAAAAAATAGCAAAAAAAAATAAAAACACATATTAAAAGAAAAAAAAAAAAGTTGAACAGAGCTGTAGCCTAATCTCATCATGCACGGGGGGAAGAGTGGTCCTGAATTCAGTCATGTGATAGAGCAATGTTTACAAATATGAATACTGCTTAGTATTCAGCGTTTGTTCCATTCAGTATTCATTCAATTCTGTATTCACGATAACAGTTCCATTCATGTTACCAAGGTAACAAATAATCAAGAAGATAATCAGAATGACATAGGCCCTAGCAATAACTATGTAGTCTTAAAAGTTGGTAAGTCCCCTCCATTCAGGAGCCCTTGCAAATGTGGTGCTCAGAGAGTGGCGGAGCCTGTGGCCAGGCCTGCACCCAGGGCACCACCTGGCCACCCACACGCCCTGCCTGCTGCAACCCTGGGGCCCGTCCACTGGCCCCAACCTGCTCTCGGTGCATAAATTCACAGAGAAACATGAGTGGATAACAACAGAAAATAGCATTGGAATAATGGGGATCAGCAATTTTGCGCAGGGAGATTTGGGAGATGTTTACGATAGTCTGCCTGAAATTGGGACAAAATTGTACAAACGAGGTGAGTTTGGTGCTCAGAAAGTGGGAAAGCTACGAGTGAACTCTGTTCTCCTCTATCAGGAGAAGAAACCGGCATTAATACTCTTGCAGAAAATCCAGGCCTTGTCAACCAGTCTTTTTATGAGGATGGCTGGCTGAGCAAGACAACAATAAGTAACCCTTGAGGGGAAAAGCACATGACATTCAATCTATTGGGGAGTAAAAATGGAAACTTCTAAATAAATTAGAATGAAACAACTTCAAAAAAAAAAAAAAGACCTCTGTGTTCAAACTCTACTTACAGAGAACCTACATTAGAAGTGAACGGGCACAAAGGTCTCCGTTTTGCACAGGAAATTGGTATTCTTATGAGTATTTTCAGTGTTGATACCTTTACAGTGTTTTGTACTAGTTCTGTGCCATAGGAAGATGTCTCCTGGTAGCTACTGAAGACCTCTCATGTCTTCCAGGGACTTTGTTTTTCGTCAGTTATAAAGAACTGCGTTTTAAGGGCCAGTTCTGAAATTCACTAGGTGACAGTACAAACAAAACGTAACAGTAGAGCTAACATGTCGTGGCAGAATTGGGGTAAGTAATAAAAATGAAACAAGGGCTGTAATGCATTCATCTCCCATATGTTCTCCTGGGTCTGACTCATCCCTTTACTTCCCAACCCACCTCTGCTCCCAGCCCCTGGCACTGCTGAGCACAGGGCCTGGCAGGCAGTAATAGATTTTATAAATATATTTTAAATAAGTGCCACAATTCATGCTCACCCTTGCCATAGGAAAGAATTCCCCCAGGAAATCTGCATTCTTTTGAGCCTGGAGAAGTCCCCTTACTCTGTGAAGTGGGTCTGCTTCTGGACCAAGGGTGTGTTCTTAGCGATGGAATCATACTGATGAGTACACACTGGGTCAGCCGTATCCATTATTAAAAGAGTGAAATGCTTATATCCCTTGAGGGCCCCACTCCACCTCCCTGACCCACTTCCTAGGACCCGCAAGACCTTCTCATGATTCTGGCAACTGAGTGTTGACCCCTGGACCGCAGTTGGTCTCAGGACTGCTTCAGCATTGTATCTGACTTCTGTGCTGATGCGTCAGCGCCTGCTCTATGCAGGTACGAAATATTTTGAATTGTCACTACTGTGGACAAGGGCACATTCCACTTTGGGGCTGAGCAACTTGTCTTTTTGCTTTTCAAGTACCACAGTTCCTCAAACTTGCCCTCTGTTCATGGCAGATTTTGGTAACCCTACTGAAGCTGGGGCCTGTTCCCAAAGCTGTACCTGGGACATGAGTTTACCTTGTTTTTTAACCATGTGAAGGGTGCCCATAGCATCGGACACCACTTACTATGATTTCCACCTCTCTCTCTGTCACACGCTGCCTCACATTCTGCAGCCCTTTGGGTGTGTCACTCTTCCAAGCTTCCCTAGCAATGTGCCTCTTCTTCTTTGGCCCTTCCACCTTTCCTTCCAACTCTGTATCATGCACACACACATTACATATGTATTTTTTTTTCTAATAATAGCCAATGTCAGAATACTGCTGGAATGCTGGAAGCTCACCAGCAGTTAAGAAACTGAGTGAGGAAAACCAGGACCCTTCGTAGTGGGTAAGCAGAGGAGGAAAAGCTGAGGATTTACTGATGTGTCTGCCCCTCCCTAGGCATATCTTATTTGTTGATCCGGCTATCACCTGGTTTCTTTAAGACTATTACTAATTCATCTGACCTACAAATATTTAATGAACATTGATAAGAAGAAATGAGGGCCCATGCCTGGAGTGGAAAAGAAGGGATATGTCTAGTTCTCGGGCTGGGACACCAGCCAAGTGGCCCACTTGGGGTGTTACTTGAAGTGGACAGAGCCAAAGGGGGTATCCAAAAGTCTTGAGGGGCTAGATTAGTCAAATCAGTCATGAGGCTGAGTATGGACAATGGAAGTGTTCAAGTGGGTGGATACTGGAGGGGGTGGGAGACAGGAGCAAAGCCCGAGGCTGGGAGCGCTGGACTTCTTTGTGACCAGAGTGGAGGGCGTAAGACTCCTCTCATGGGGAACTAGCTAGACGCTCTGTGAAGGCTGGAGGTGGCCCGGCCTGGAGGAAGAGCTTCAGCATTCATGTGCCTATGTGATTCTTTTGTGACTTTGGGACTTTTCTCACTCTCGGGCGGACCAAACCAGCCCCCTGTGTAACCCAGCAACCAAACCCAGCACTCTTGGGAGCAAAATTCCAGCCCAGGCCTCAGCCCTTTTGCCTTGCTCCGGGCATTGAGAAACACCTGCACTGTGTGGGTGGAGGACAGAGCTGCTGGATTTGGAGGGAGATCATGCCCAGTTGCATGAGCCCTAAGTCTCTGTAAAAATAGCAGAATACAGTTGCCTTGGAAGTGTGAATCTTTCCATGTCAAACTGAAATTGCTGCCCATCTCTGCCAAACGATGTGGAAGCAAGTGGGAGGAGGCTAATGAGACCAGATGAAGTTTTATTTTTCATGTCAACTAGCAGCTATTGCATTATTGTCGCATGGCAGTTCCCAGCATTGAACATTCACTATCTGTCATTTTCTTGTTTCCGGCCACTCTCTTGGATCAGAACCAGTTTTTATTAACTAATTTTGCTTTTAATTTACAACAGCTTGAGATAGTACACAAAATTCAACAGTTGCTTTTGGAGAAAGAAAGTGGATGGGCTGTGGACAAAAGACTTACTTTTTCAATATATATCATTTTGTATATTTTAAATTTTGTAGCATGGGTAATAGTAACCTCTTATGACCCATTAAGAATAAGTTAATTCATTTTATAAATCTGTAGCTTAAGTTTTTTAGCATTTAATCTCCTAAGTGAAAGATATACTGATCTACCATTCTCCTTACCCCAAATCTACCAAGAATTTCTTCCATTAATTTCTCATAAAAGAGACTGTATTTTTCTTTTTCTAGAATGAGCTGAAGTTACTTGGAGAGCAAGGGACCACATTGCTGTCATGTATTCAAGAACCAGCGACCAAAAGTCCCAGCGGCAAACTCAGTCCCAATGAACTTGAGAATGTAGCTACCATGGAAAGGTGAGTGAAGGTGGAAGATACTTTTTTAGGAGAGATTAGAACTAGGTGGTCCAAAGCAACCAAGGACAGATTAGAACAGCTGGTACTGGGCCTTGGTAGAATCTATAAAGAATAATATTTGAGACAACAAAGGAAAAAAGAAAGTACCCATCTGGCATCCAGCTACAGAGATGTTTTTATGAGAATGCTGTTCTCTCCACTTATGAAAAGCTGTCATCCCAGGGATCTCAAGGGAGATGGTAGTAGCAGTTGAGTTTCATTTCCAAATAACAGTTGTCTGGGTGCTGTGCTTTGTCAAAGAAAAGGCACAAAGGCAAGTTTACCAGGGGAATGTTTTAAAGCACAGGGCCACAGGTGCAGGGACGTGTCTGCCTAGCACTGAAGGTGTCCTGATTAAGCCCTGACTGGTGTTGCTCATCCTGCAAAGCAAAAGGCTGCTGGTTGATTCTAGGTCAGGACACCTGCCTGGGTTGTGGGTTCTTCCATGGTACAGGCATGTACAACCTATATTCTCTCTCACATCAATGTTTCTCGCCTTCTCTCCCTCCCTTCTCCTCTCTAAAAATAAATAAGTCAAATCTTTTTAAATTGCCTGATTGAAAAATGGGAAATGGGAACCAGCAGAACTATGAGAAAGTCATAATGATACAGACTTTCATAACAAGCACATCACTACAATTAAAACAATGACTGACAACATGGGTGTTACCTACAGGAGTCTGTGCAGACTGCTGTGGAAATGAATGTTAACCACAATGTTGCTGTCTCGTTCTTTCTCGACAGGTTACTAGTTCAATTGGATGAAACAGAAAAAGCCTTTACACAGTTTTGGTCTGAGCATCACCTGAAGCTTAATCAATGCCTACAGCTCCAGCACTTTGAGCACAGTTTTTGTGAGGTGCTATTTTCTTATTTAATAGTACTCCCTTTTAGGGTTCAGTGACCTTCCGTTCTCTCTCCTGCCTTGAACTCTGAGTATTGGGGTTTCTCTCCTTCCTCTAGCCCAGCTCCCTCCTCAAATCTTTGTTTCCTCTCAGACAGCCTCTTCTCACTTTTCCAATGGGCTAGTAATGTTCCACAGTCCAATTTTCTTGTTGGGGTACATGGTATTTCACTGATGGTTTGTCTTCCTTTTTGACTGATAATCTGTTGACTGTAGCTTTAATAGTCCATCTACAGGTGTCTAAGCAACCCCACTATCCCCACTTAATCTGCAAGTTCATGAGCTGCAATGCATATACACTATACACACTGGTCCCAAATCCTTTTTGGGTTGTTGAGTTTTCTTAGATAATAGCCAACCTCTACCTCCAGATGGGTGCTCATGGGCTTATTTCTGGACTATTCTATGTGTCTTGTAGGTTAAGCTTGCCCTGGACAACTTACTGGCAGAGCAAGCAGAATTTACAGACATCGGAGACAGCGTGATGCGTGTGGATCAACTTCTTAAGGAGCACAAAAAACTGAGCGAAAAAGCCCAGGTTTGGTTTTGCCTTTTTTTGTGGAATTCAAAGGTAGTCACTGTGGACAGTAGCAGGTCATGCCCACACATTGTTGGGAGGCTGCTAAGGACAGAGGAACCCTAGATCCTGCCCTCTGAGTCACCTCGCCCTCACCCCAGGTCCTGCAGGAGATGTGCCCATGAGCAGCTAATGCTGCAGTGCAGGGTTCTGTCCAGGCTGCCGGAGCGTCCCATTGAGGCTGGAGGCTGTGTGGGGCTGGGTGAGGGCTCTGGGCTGCCCTGCCCCTTCTAGCAGAGGAGCGGCAGGAAGGCAGGTGACAATGAATGACATTACCCACAGGGCCCCGGATGTGGAGGCATGGGCTGGGGTTTGGTGGTAAGGAGGGGAAACTTTAGAAGGGGAAACCAGGGAAAAAAAAAAAAAAGAAACTAGTTTTATAACAAGCAAGACCGTGAAAAGGGGGAAATGGGCCCCCATTAGTTCTGTTCCTACCAGATTTGGCAACGCTTTCTCCTTTCTCATTCCCCAAGAGTTGTAAATATCAGGCGTGTAAAGGAAGAGATATTTCACAATTCTCTTAACAAAATTAAACAGTCTTCCAGATCTGCACACAGGTCAGGTCTCACTTAGGAGTGAGTCTGTTTTAAGTCCGCATAAACTCGTCTCATTATGACTCAGGAAATCCAGTCATCTCTTTCCAGAGCAGTTCCTTTCTGCTTTTCTTTCATTAGCCTCTCTGTCTTTGTCTGTTGGGGAGATCACGTTTTACATGGTTAACACTTTCTGAGCTGATCCTGAGGCATGTTTCCCAGGCGGTAATTTTGAAGTACTAGGTATTTGCTTTTCAAAGTGTGATCCTCTGGCCAGCAGCACAGAGGTCACATGAGTGAGAACTTGTTATAATGAGGAATTTCTGCTCCCTCTCAGAATCAGAATCTACATTTTAATGAGATCCCCAGGTGACTGACATACGCATAATAGAGACCATTGAGGCTGGAGGCTGTGTGGGGGTGACACACAGCCTCCAGAATAGTAGCAAATGTAAACTAAGGTCCTGCTGGTCCTCAGAGCTCCGGGTTGTGGATTCTGAGCAGCAGGTCTTCTGCACGTGTGTGACCTGGCCCACCTGTGCCCCGACTTTCACTCGGGAATCCCATCCTTCCCTAGTGAGCAGTCTCTCTGTGATCAGTGACCACCAACAGCGAAACACTTCAGTGCTGAAGGCACGAGACGTGAGAAACATTTACCAAATGTGAAAAAATACAATTTCACGTGTCACATACATCTTAGATCCTCCAAGATAGTCCCAATTTTATGTAATTTTAGTTTTTTCAAAAGAACTCCTTATTAAATGTAGATACTATGTGCTTTCACTTCTATACATTTATATATGAGAAAAATGTCTCACCGAGCCCAGCGCTTCTACTTTTGGTTTAAAAAGCGTGCTCAGGGCTCCCATGAGGGCGGCAGCCGGCCCAGCGGGAAGGCCTTCACGCGTTACCAGGTCTTCCGTGCCTGTGGTTCTGTGATCACGACGGCCAGCCAGACAGTCAAGACCCTGCTTTCCTGGAGCTTGCATTCTACTGGACGGAGATAAATACGTAAAAGTAACCAAACAAATAACAATATCAGATAATGACAAGTGGCATGAAGAAGATAATAGAATATAATGGAAAGTGAATGGGGCTGCTCCTTCAGTGAGGGTCGTCAGGAAAGGCCTCCTGAGGAAGGTGACCGTCGACCGGAGATCTGGACAGCTGTGCAGAGATGTGGGGAACAGTATTTAAGACGGAGAAGCATAAGTTCCAGGTCTTGAGGTGGGAATGGGGTTGGTGGGTTCAAGGCGGGCGTCTGCAACATAGTGAGTTAGGTAGGAACAAACAAGTGGGAGCAGTGGCGTGAGGATTGGATTTTACTCTCAGTGGAGCGGGAATAAAATCCAGTTGGAGGGTGCTCTGGATTGGGTTTTAAATAGCAGGGTTAGATCTGCGTGACTGCATCCACATTCCCTCTTCTGCCCACCTCCTATGGACTTACATACTTTGGACTTGGTACATACTTGGGACTTGGCACATACTTTAAAGATCACTGACTGGAGCTGGGGGCACAGCCTGCAGTCACGGGACGTAGGAGAACTCTGTGAACCCAATGATGAGGCCTTTGTGGACAAAGTTCCTGAAGCAGCTGGACTAACCCGCTGCAGATGCATCCAGGCGGGTCGGTTTACCCATCTTGTGCCTTGCTTACCTGTTTTTCACTTGTTTTCTGAAGGATGCAGCCGACCTATTCCTCTGCCTTTGGGTGAACTGAACAAAGATACCTTATCATGACCGGAACCCTTTGTAACCTACCTTCACTCAGAGGCATCGTTTCTTCAGATGATAAGGACTTGGCTAATCTTCTCATTTGTCTGTAAAGTGTTAAAGAAACAAGGTGATACCTGGCTAGAATCTGCCACAACTTGCTTGGGTTTGTCCTTCATTCTGTACTCAGGAGTCAGCTTCCCTTTTGGCATGGCCACACACTCATTTCTGTTTTGTTGCCAAGGTGCTCTGTGCCGTGACATCATTGCCCGGGCAACCTCCAGCCGACTCACTGCCGCATTCCTGGTGTGTGCTACTTAAGCCCGTTTTTTTTTTTTTTGTTTTTTTTAACCTTATTTTAGTTTGAGGGTTTAGCAGTTCTTTGAGTGCTCATGTTTTTTTATTGTGAGAAAAAACAGTTTGGGCCACTCTCTGACTTATAAAAGCAGAATTTGCTATAGAGTTTTTGGCCGGGAAGTATCCTGGGACCTTCAGTGATGAACGAGCAAGGAACAGGCTGGCACGGGGCAGGGCCAGCCAGCCTGATTGCAGCCTCGGCCTCTCCCCCCAAGGCCAAGGGCCAGCAGTTACATTACTGTGTCCAGGAAGGCAGGGAACCCAGAGTATTACCCTTTCAGGGACATAATCTGTCTAGAGGGAACATGGCTTTTTTGGTGTGTGTATGTACATTTTCAAACACACACAAAAGTACATGGATGAAAACAATAAACTCCCGTGTATCTATTGCTTGGGTTCAGTAGCCAGTCCCTTGCTGCCCTCCTCATTTTGCCTGGCCCCCTTCCCCGTGCACACGTTCCGTCCGACACCATCCTCCGTGGGTGCGTTCTGGACTCCCCAGTGCAGCAGCATCACTGTCTCTCATGGTTTTTTTCCGTGATAAATACTCTCATCTTTCATTCACCATAGCAGAGGGTCTTTGGGAGAAAAATAGCGGTTATTATAATAAATACTTTTGAATTACACATTGTAATCTGACTATCCAGCCTCCTGGAGTTTTCAGCAGCTGAAAGGCTTGTGATCAGAGCAGCAGCTTTCAGCATTTCTGTCTCACGATTCCTTTTTTACTTAGGTTTTATTGCCTATTTATCATGAGCAGGAGCTGCGTAGACTTAAAAATAAGCTGTGATGTGGGGGTTTCATAGTGAAGTTCTGTGAAAGACTTGAGGGTTGTGGTTGTACCTCAATGATCACAGCTCGTGTAGGGGGCAGGTGGGCTGGAAGGTGAGAACACAGGCTTCGGAGTTTGACGGAACCAGATTCAAACAACTCAGCTCTAACGACTACCACTATGTGGCCCTAGGGCCTCGGTCAAGTTTCCTAGCTTTTCAGAACGTATTTCCTCAGCCAAATGGTGAATAATAATAATTCCTACCTCACAGAGTCCTTGTGAAGACAAAACGACTTGAGTGCTCTTCCAGCCATCCAGTGAAGGCTTCTAACTTATATGTATGATCTTTCCCCAAGACCCATTTGGACCTATTACTCCCATCTTTCCTCCAAAAATCTCAAATGTTTTAAGAACAGTTGTGAGGGGTGAGACACCACATGCCAAGCCAAGTGCAAGCCATGGCCAGCACCGGGCTCTTGTGAAACAGCCTGTGCTGAAGTTCCCTATTCCCAGAAAACTGGTGTGCTGTTCTTAATAAATTAGACATCTGGACTTAATGAAAGGAAGTCAATAGATGGCCACATTTTCACACTCCTCCATGACTAAAGTCAGACAGGTTTTCTCAACCTCAGTGGTCTCTCAGCTTAGGCAGAAGAAGTGCGGCCATTTTTCAGTGTGTGGTGACCAGAACCAGGTGTGAAGCCCAGCTCTCCTCTTCCCTACCTGGGCCACCTTGGGCCGTGACCCCCACTCCTCCGTAAAACAGCACCTAAAGGGCTTGCTGTGAAGAGCAGAAGAGACAAGCGACATAAGTGTTCAGAACAGTGCCCAGCAGGCAGTAAGCTCTGACTGAATGTTAGCTGTTGTCGCTAACGTCACAGGGGCAGAGGGTCAGTTCTCTGTGCCACAGCATGTCTCCTAGGTCCAACGTGCAGTGGCTGAGCAGTTCTAGTAGCAGTGTCTCATTCATTCTTCATTCATTCTGCAAATATTTATTGATATCCTACCATGCCAAGCACTGTTCTAAGTTCTGAGGACACAGCAGTGAGCAACACAATCCAAAATCATGGCCTGAGGACTTAACATTCTAACCTCCTTTCAGGAATGGTGAACAGTGCATCAGGCCTTTGCTGTTCGCAGTAAGTGCACTGGGTATCGAGCCGAGTTATTTTTAAATAGCCACTCCTTGATTTGTAGATCATTTCTCCCTTTTGTTTTACACAACAATCACTTGGTCTGAAGTACCTAATGTGTGCTGTGTACTGTTTTAATAACAGCTGTGTATGCCTGCAAGGGTCCGGGGCGTACTGAGGGCAATAGATAAGAGATCACAGCAGCGAAGTGTCTGCTCTCATCCAGAAAGGCACAGAGTGTTATGGGAGCACAGGGGAGGGGCACTGGAATAAAAAGAGAGCATTGGGAAAAGTTTCCTGGAGAAGACGACTCCTGAAGAGTGATTTGGATTTAGCTCCAGGGCAGTGTGGGTGCAGCAGGAGGTGGGAGGTGGGGTGGTCGGGAGTAGGGCTGATGAGTGAAAGATGGGGCTTTCTAGGCAGAGAGAGCAGGTAGAGAAGTCATGGAGGTCTGAAGCTGCCGGAATAGCTGGGGAACTTCAAAAGGATCATTAGTCTGGTTCCAGCAGAGTATGGGGGTGAGGGGATTGGAGGAAGAGGAGGCACAGGTGATGGCGAAAGGCTTTCTATGCATTGCTCAGGAGTATGAACTTTCTCCAGAAGAGTATAAGAAGCAAGAAAACACTTGAAGTTGGGAGTGATGTAGACACGATAAATGTTGCACTGGAATTACTAGCAGTGTGGAGCATGATTTGAAGAACAGCCTGAGGGAAAGCAAAAAGACCAGCCATCCCAGTCAGAAAGCAGGAAGGCCTGTGACAGGAGGTGGTGAAGAAGTGCTCAGAATTCAAAAGGGGTTAAGAAGGATGTGGGCTTTTGCAGGGCTTGGCGAGTGTTGGGTGGGGAGAGTGGTTTGGAGATTGTTGAAAGCACGAATGACTTTAAGTCAAGAGGGGGCTGGCCAGCTGTCATGGCCTGGAGTCATCGCATGTTCCTGTAAGCCTTGTGCTACTGTAACAAAACTACTGGGTTCCATTGCCCACCGCCAAAAAAGTGACTCCCAATGCCACAGTCTTGTGAAAAGGAAAGGAACTATTCAAGAGTTATACAGGTTCAGAATAATGGCGGAATTCTGTTTTTAAGTCCCAAAGTCCCTTAAAACTAAACACACACAGTCCTGACTCCACTTACCAAACCAGGGCAGTCAGAAGTGCCGTCTTTCGGGAAAAGATAGAAGTCTGTAGCTTAGCTAGGCAGATCCTCATTTTAATATCCAGCTTCTCCCAGTCATCTATACTGAGCTAGGCTCCTGCTCTTAATTCCAAACTGCATGCCTGCTACATCTTGCTTTTCTGCTCCTTTCTAAGCTGTGTGGCAGAGGCTCCCCGTACAGCTAAGAGAGCATGGCTGCCCTTTGCTTGAGTTTAAATCCTCACTCTGCTGCTTCTCCGTAACCCCACTTTCGACTCCTTCCACAATTGGCTACCTCTGCCAGCCCTCATGTATCTTCTGCCTTTCTTGGCCACCACTGTTAGTATGGGCAGGCATGGCCCTGTGACATGGAGTGGACCATTGTGAAAACTCTGTAGCCTGGGACGATTCTGAGCTGCAACATGGGTTAGAGTCAGGCCCATCTCCCTGACTCTGAGCCAGCAGGCACAGCTATTAGCATTACTAAAACACTGGCCAAGCTCTTTAGATATGCAAAGTAACTCTCAATGAGCCTGTTCCACTTCCCCTCCCCCCAACTATGTTAGTAGGGGTCTTGGGGTCCTCAGTATAGTCCCTGTTACCTCACTGTAAAAAGTTAAACTAGGACAGTGTGGTGTACTAGACGCTCATCATGGTCAGCAAGGAGGCATAAGATCTCTGTGCTCCTGGAGACCGTGGCAGTCACCTGTGTTGACTCACAGGTCAATATTGTTTCACACGGTTCCAGCCAAGCAGGTGGCTGCATCATCTAGTGCATTCATTCATTCACTAGTGTTCCTTCCTTCCTTCATTCATTATATTGATTGAATATTTATGGGATGCCTACTAAGCACTCCCATGGAGCTAACGTACCAGTGGAAGTGGGTAAAGGAAGGAGAAATTGTACACTGAAGTAAGCAAAGATTTTCAGATAGAGGTAGTGTTAGAAAATGAAAACAAAGTGGGGGAGAGGTCCTGGGCAGGTTTCGGGGAGTAGATAGAGCAGTCAGAGAAGGGCCTGCCTGGAGGTGAGCTGGGAGCTCAGGGCTGGCTGACCTGGGAGGAGCACCCCGGGGAAGGCACTGAGGCGGGAGCTGGTTTGGTTGCCGGCCTTGTTTAAGCCACATCTTCTACCTGGACGACTGCAGTAGCCGCCTACCTGGCCTCCCGGCTTTGCCTCTTCTCCGTCATTCTCAAGAGCACAGCGGCAGCCGGCCTTTCATGAATGAATGAGACCCTCCCCTCTAAACCTCCGGCGCTTCCTGCGTCACAGTGATCTTCTGCCCTTCTGCTAGTAAAAGCCGAGGTGCTCCCACAGTGACAGCAGGGCTCTCCAGTCCCATCCCTCTCTCTCTTCTCTGATCCCGTCTCCTACTCCTTTCCTGTTTCCTCCTTTGTCCCAGCCCTAGTGGCCTCCTCCCTTGACCTGAACCTCAAAGCCAAGTACTGACTGCCCGGCTCGTCCCTGACTTCAGGTCTGTGCTCCCTGTCGGGTTTCCCAGGACCACACCTGGATTTGAAGATCTGCTAGGAGGGCTATGTTAAGAGACATATTTCTAAAGTCTCATGACTCCCCTATAGTCCAAACCAGGTCTTGACCTTTTCTTAACTTCAGCTCACTCCCCACTTCCCTCAGGGCCACACGAATTTCCTTTTTGCTTTTCCATTTAGTTGACAGTGGAATTCAGTTTCCTGTTTTGTGCAGTATAACACTTCTACCCTACAACTTATCACATTGTAATCATTTAATTATTTGTATAATTTATTTAATATGTGAGTTCTCCATTAGGTTGAAAATTTCTGGCTTGTTGACACTGTGTCCTCAGTGCCTACCCCAGAACTCAACAAATACCTGAATGAACGACTTGCTCTTCTGCAGGGAGATGACCCTGGACGAGGACAGACTCCTTGGGAAAGGAAGAGCTTGCCCAGGTTCCCCAGCCCCAGACTCTCAGCCTAAAACCTGACTCAGCATCACTCTAGCCTCCCTCCAGGGTTGGAGCACACAGTGTCAGGAAAATAACAGCTTTGCTGAGACCTGGCTCGTGATGCTTGGCTGTGTGTGTTCACTTTGCAGGAGCCCTTGGAAAAAGCCCAGCTGCTCGCTGTCATTGGGGACCAGCACATCCAAAGCGACCACTACGCAGCAGACTCCATCAGGCCCAAGTGTGCGGAGCTCAGGCACCTCTGCGCTGACTGCATCAATGAGAGCAAGAGAAAATACGACCTTTTAGGAAAGTCCTTGGAGTTACACAGACAGCTGGACAAGGTGAGTGAAACAAAGCTGAGACCATGATGCTGGCGACGTTTTCTGTAAAGTATCCTTGATCACACTCGACCTCCCTGTCCCATGAGATTGCCAAGGGGATAAAGGACTTCACGTGAAACAGTGCTCTAAAGGCATTAAAGGCTGCAGATTCCAGGTCATAGAGGCGTTGAAGGTCTAGAGTGCCTCCGCCACCCACCACGTCCTATTAGAACGAATTAAGTCCTTCGCCCTTGGTGTGGACCCATTCTCAAAGAGTGTGGTTTGGCCCCACCCTGTGGGACATTTATTGATTCCCCTGCAGGCATATAGTGGCCAAGCACTATATTTACAAAGTGCTCCTCCTCATCTAAAGCCATCAGAATGTAGATTCTTTTGGAGAAGCTCAAGTTATAATGAGCATCATATAATCCTGCCATTTATTGTGCACCAACTATACCTACTGGGAGTATAATTATGTCACCTATTTAATCCTCAAGACAAGTTATGAGGAAGGTATCAACGGCCTCATTTAAGAGGCAGAGACTGATACTCTACAGGCGTAAGTCCCTGGGTCGTAGCATTTAGCGAACGAGGATCGCCTGGTGAGCTTGCTGTGTTGCAGGTTCCCCAGTGTACCACTCTGGAGACTGGGATTCAGTAAGTCTAGGAGGATGCTGAGGAATCAGTGTTTTCAGCAAGCGCTTGGGTGATTCTGGTGCAGGTAGTACAGGGATGCACTGAGAAATGCTGGAATAAGTGATTGCCCAAGACCGCACATGGGGCAAGTAGGGGATTGTGGATTTGAAGTCGGGGCTGCCAAGTTCCAAACCCCAGGCTCCTTAGGCCAGACAGCAGTGGTGTGTGTGCCAAAGGCTCACAGGGAGGGACTGTAGCTTCTGGTGCTTTTGGCAGTGATCTCTTGGACAAGTGCCCAGTCAGCAGGGGTGGTTACTTCTGTAGCCTTCCCTGTCAGCTGCTCCCAGGCAGCATGTAGCTCAGGGCCGTGAGTCAGCGTGGTCCATTCCCACATCTCTTTCTCTCTGATGGAAATGGGATGATGTACAGTCTGGGTGGGTGCCCAGAATGTACATCATCCCACTGCCAAAGGGATGTTAGTGTCAACTAAATACAGCGATTCCAGAAGCAAGTGGCTCAAAAGAACCTGGTGTGCAGTCTGCTCTGTGTGCTAAGCTCTCCGCAGGATCAGCTACTGCTCCACAGATAAGGGCCTAATGCTGAGGGTCATGAGGTGTGAGAGAGACTGTGTATAGGAGAGCAAGTAGCCACTGTGACTCTGTAGAAGACCCCAATGTAATGTTTTCTGCAGTTCTGGGCATGAGGTTTCGAGACAAAGTTTTCACGGTATGTATTGAAGCATGATTTCATGTTATTTTGAAAATCCAAAAGTGTAGAAAAGAGGAGGAAGGAAGTTACTCATGCATATCTACTCATTCCACTCCCGTCTCATTCCCATGGAGTGGTAACCACTCATTTTTAGATATTTTATTGTTTTTTGTTATTCTGAGAGTAGTACACCTTCAATGCAGATAATTTAGGAAAAAATAAAAGATTTAAGTTGCCTGTAATCTCCCACTTAGCAATGACCACTTTGCAGTGTTCCCCCCTGCACAGCTATTTCACACAGCTCTTTGGGTCGCGTGGAATGGAAATACAGGTGCACTTGCTATAGAAGCTTTTTTTCATATCAATATTCAGGCATCAGAAGGGCCCTTGTCTTTCTGTTTTCATCTTTTAAACATTGAATTATGAGAATTCATCACCTCTCTGATTCCATTCATGCCTTCTGGAAAGTTTGAGCGTTGCTATTCTGAGTTACAGAAATTTTCGTTCTCAGATGCTTCCCTTGGAAAGACACATGACAGTAAGAACAAGCATGGACAGAGGAAAATAGTGTGTTTGCTGAAAGAAGCGTCTCTCCCTGAGTAAAGTGTGTAGAGGCCAGGTCCACCGCCTCGCTAGTCACCCTGTGCTCTTGTAACCAACGAGGAAGCAAGACAAGGGGTCTAGAGGGTCAACCCAAAAAGTCATTGGTTACATTTCTCTATAGTTAGACCAAGCTTAGAAATACTTAACTTTCTCCTCCTGGAGGAGTAGGGATTACTGTTGGCAGAGAAAGAGAAGAATGTTTATGCAGTTATTTTACTGATCGAGTGACTTCCCTGAAAAGTGAACAGATGTAAAATTGGTTTGGGTTTGTCCACCTCACAGCTGTATTTACAGTGGCTGGACCTCTCGACTGGATGCTGGCCCACGGCAATTTCCCATTGTCCCAGAATCCTGGCAGAGCCTGCAAAGGAGCTGGGCCTCCCGAGGGTTGTGGTGGCTGAGCTGTGGTCAGGCTAACTGCACAGGACACTCTGTTTCTTTTCAAAAGGTCAGCCAGTGGTGTGAAGCGGGAATCTACCTCTTGGCTTCCCAAGCTGTAGACAAGTGCCAGTCTCGAGAAGGTGTTGACGTTTCCTTGAACGACATTCAGGCATTCCTGGGCACGGCGAAGGAGTACCAGTTGCCCAGCCCCAAGGAGTTTTACCACCAGTTTGAGTTGATACTCACCCCTGACGTAGAGGTAATGTTGATGGGTTATTTTCATCCTGTGGTTGGGAAAGTGGCATTGGGGGCCTTTGCCTATTGCCTAAGAAAGTCCATGTAGGACACATGGAGCAAGTTAACCAGCTCTTGAGCCCTCAGGTGGCCTCTTAGACTCCTGGCAAAGTGCTTCCTGGCAAACCAACTCTTCACAGTCTGACTCAAATATCATCTTCACTCATCTGTTTCTCTACAAATCCTTATGAGCATCTCTGACATATCATGAACTGTGCTGAGGACTCATTGGTAAACAAATAAACATGGTTGCATCCTTCATGGAAGTTACAGTTTAGAGGGAGAGGATGACATTAATAAATGTCAAACACAAATCACGAAAGTGTGTTCCAAGCAAAGGGCTCTGGAGTTGGGATTCAGGGTCCTATCAAGTATGGCTGAGGAACGTGACCTGGACTGGGAGGTCATCTGAACCAAGCCCTGGAGAATGAGTAGAGAAGATGGGGGTCCTTTCCAGTCAGAGGAACAGCATGTGCAGGGGCCTCAAGGCTGGAGGGAGCCTGGCACATGTGCAGCACCCAAGGGCCAGGGTGCCTGGAGTGCAGAGAGCCAACCAAGATTGGAGAGGGACAGACGAGGAGGGGCTTGGTGGGCCACATGAAGGAGTTTGGCCTCCATTCTAAGAGCAGTGGGAAGCCACTACAGAATTCAAGCAGGGGAGCAACTTGGTTGGATTTGCACTTTGAAAGGAGCATTCTTCTGTGAGGCCAGTGGAGTTGTGGGTAGCACACCATCCTCTGATATCCATACCACTTTGTATGAGCCTCTGCTCCAATGCCTCTTCACCTCCTTTGAGTCACGGACCCTTTTGAGGACCTGACTCACCTACTTTTAGGGAGTTCGATGCAGGCACTTTTACAAAGACATGGGCGGGGATTTAGGGAACCCAACAGGGATAGTGAAGCACCCTGGGGCTAGCAGGAAACGGAGCAGTTACCACCCCTAATTTTAAAGGAAGACAGAGGGGGCTCAGGATGTGACACAGCTGTGACTGTAAGAGAGGCAGCTAGTGAAAGCTGTGGCCATGGGCAGAGGAATGAGCCAGTGGTGGAGAAACACATACCCCTACTTTTCTCTCTTCTTCTCTCAGATTTCCTGGTGGGGCTTCCCATTGGCCAAAGCCAACTAAAAGCCCACAGGCAAATGAACCCATCTGACAGTCTGTACAGGTTAGTTTCCTGGGACGCAGAGCAGAGGAGAGAAGATGTAGCGGGACACAAACAGGGAATATTCGGAGTGTGTAGCTTCCTGTGATTAATTTAGGAGACCACCTGAAGTCCATGCGTTGATTCAGGCTAAAGGCCCTTTTCTAATAGAACACCATACTGTATTCCAATTATTTATTTTTAATATCTATTTTGCTTTATTACACTGGGAGCTTCTGAAGGGCAGGAGCCCTTCCATCTCTGTGTCCCTGTGCCCAGCCTGTGCCTTGTATCTAATCCATGTTTGCTGAACAAGCAGGCGGGCAGGCGTGAACGTGGAATGGGTGAAGTGTGGGCAGCTCGGTGTGGAGTTGCACCTTAGCGATCTTTCCCTGACTCCTTCCAGTGAGTTTTGGTGCAAAGATGTGACCTTGAGATGGGGTGGGGGTGGGGTGGGCAGACCACCTTCCCTCAACATAAGATCCCTTCAACTTCCCTGCAGAAGGGACAAAAAGAAGGTCCATCTGCTGTAGGTGCTACACCTGAACACCCAGCTTCAATAGACTCGGGTCAGACTCCTGTGCAGAACAGTCTCACCATGCTTCAGCCCCATTATCTGCTCCAAATACGTGTGTCAGGTTAAGCAGGGAGACCTGTGGCTGCAGCTGCAGTGCTGGCCAAACTCAGCCAACGTCCTGACCGGCACCAGGAAATGAATAAAGCTCAATTAGCCACTTCTGGGGAACAGGTAGGAACATGGAGGAAGAAGAGGATTAGAGGAGAAAACAGCTTTTTAAAAACCCTATGTATAAAACAGATCAAAATATCCCCAAAGCCCAACTATTCTTTTTTGGCTTGAAGTAAAATTCTAGATTATAAGATTAAATATCCTTATTGTGTCAGAGAAAGTTTTATCCACTGAGAGGTAATGACTTTGTTGTCAAAAGTGGTACTTTATACAAATAGAATATTGCAAGATGTATGCTTATACACAGGTAGATATAGACAAATGCACTTCCTTACTTGGACCTAGAAGCAATGACCCCCACCACCACCCCCGCAACAGCATCAGTGAGCACACCTAGCACCTCAATCTTGGCTTCCATAATAATACCATTCTTTAATAAGAGACCCAAGCTCCTGGGAAAAATGGCTAATTCCAGGACTGGGGGAAGAAATAGAGAAGATGATTCTAGAGCATATTACAATGACAAAAAGTAAGGAACTGCTAAAACCAAAACAAACCCCAGTGGTGGGACATGGAGAGCACTTGAAAGAGTGCCCATGACCAATGTTGGAACAATTTGAGCAACAAATTTAATAGCCTAGTAATGAATTAAAACCCAAAGTATAAAATAGATCTCCACAAGTCCATACTGAGATAAATAAATGAGGGAATGAATAAATCACTTGGGGAAAGGGACCTAGTCTTGCATGCAAAAGAATTCCAAATTATTTATGTAGATACTCGGCCTTCAAGGAGGTGAAGCAAAACTTCCCCATCCTTAAGTGTGGGCTGCACGTGGTGTGGGAAAGAAGTGAAAGAGTGACTTTACAGTGGAGAAAACTAACACATGTCCCCTCAGCCAGGCGATCAAGGTCAACATGAACAGTAAGTACTAAGTCATGCAGACAGTATGTGCCCTTGGCATGATGCGATGAAGATGGCACTTTCCTTCCATGGTCTTCTTCCCACCTCCCCCCAACAGACCCCATAACTTCGGTCTATTCATGAGAAAATTATCAGATAAATATTAGCGGAGGGACTTTCTACAAAATACCTGACCAATATACCTCGAAATAGCCAAGGTCATCAAAAACCAGGAAAGACTGAGAAATGGTCATAGCCAAGAGGAGCCAAAGTTGTAATGACTAAATGTAACATAGTGTTCCGATGGGACCCTGGGGGGTGGCACATTAGATAAAAACTAAGGAAACTTAGAAAAAATATGCACTTTATTTAATAGTCATAATTTTTAATAATAATGTATCAATATTGGTTTATTAGTTGCAAGACATGTACTATAGTAATGTAAGCCGGTTAATAATAATGGAAACTGGGTGTGGAGAATATGGGAACTCTCTGCACTATTTTGCAATTTTTCTGTAAAACCAAAACTATTAAAAAAATTAAGTTTTTTTTCAAAACTGGTACTTATGTCTAAAAGTTTGAATCTGTTACACTTCAGACATGAATGGTCATCAAAACGACATCAGGTCTTGGCTGGTGTGGGTCAGTTGATTGAGTGCGGGCCTGCAAACCAGAGGATTGTGGTTCAATTCCCAGTCAGGGCACATGCCTGGGTTGCAGGGCCAGGTCTCCAGTGAGAGGGTGTGTAAGAGGCAACTGCACATTGATATTTCTCTCTGTCTCTTCTTCCTTTCCCCTCTAAAAATAAATAAATAAAATCTTTTAAAAAACCACATCAGCCATAAACTGTTGTTTCTGTAGCAGCCACACCCTCTCTGTCTGAGGGTGTTCAAGGCATTGCCCTTGGTACTGCTCTTCTGGTTTTTCTCCCTCTTTCACTTTCACCACCCAGTGTAGAGAATGAAACCATTTTAGTAGCAAATAACAACATTCAACTGTGCAAATATTTATTGGGTACCCAGGTTGTGCTTTATCTGAGAATGCAGTGCAGTCCCTGCAGCCGAGGTGTGGGCAGTGTGGTAGAAGACACACATTTCCCCAGCAAGCGCTCCTAGGTCCGAGAGCGTGCGGAATGGAGCACACAGTGGGGCACACAGTGGGGCACACAGGGAGGCAGTGGTCAGGGTCAAGTGTGAAGAGCCTGGTGCTGTAGGACGAGGAGTGAGATGCCACTGCAGGGCTTTTGAACAGGTAAATTACAGGAGCATATTTTCATTTGAGAAAGCTAATTCCAATTCTGATATGGAAAAGGGAAATGCAGTTGTTAATCTTATACTCACCTCCCCCTGGTCTGAGTACAGGAATCTAGGGTTCCTTCTGAATGCCTCAGTTTAACTCAGCGAGCCATTGGCAGGGCTCACCCTGGGATCTGGGCACAGACACAAAAGGGCAAAGATGACTTGAGTCCTGCCCAGTCCGAGAGGTGAGTCACTGGGCTTTGCTTAGCATATGGCATTGACCTCATTCAGATGTTTTTAAATTGAATTTGTTGGGGAGACATTGGTTAATAAAATCAGACAGGCTTCAGGGGCACAGTTGTGTAACGCATCATCTGTCTATCGCCTTGTGTGCTCACCACCCAAACGCACGGCTCTTCCCATTGCCATTTTTGCCTCCCTCTACTTCCTCACAACTCCCCACCCCCATTTCCTTCTGGTGACCGCCATAGTGTTGTTTATCTTTGAGGTTTGTTTTTGTTTCTATTTTGCTTAATCCCTTCACCTTTTCCAATCAGCCTCCATGGTAGATTTCTTATTTTCTGAGCCGTTAACTCAGTTTCCTCAGACGCATCACTGGGCCAGAAGGGCAGAGTCGTCGTGGCCGGTCCCCAGTTCTCACCACCATAGAGCTCCCATGGCCGGCACCCTGTGGTGAGGGAATCTGGTTTCTCTCGGGACTCAGACTCGTGGCCCTGTTATCGGGACCTCAAGTGCACTGTGCGTCCATGCTTCCTGAGGCCAGAGGCACATTCTCTGAAGAGACCATTTAAACACAGACCCTGTGCTAAATCGAGACTAGGGGTCAGCACAGCGTAGCCCGTGGCCCAAGGCCTCTTGCCATCCATTTTGTGTTAAGAGTTTTATCCGAACACAGCCTCGCTCATTTGTTCTGTGTTATCTATTGGCCGTGACTGCTGTGATGTGCAGTGGCGGAGTGCGGTGGTTATCACAGAGACCAGGTGGCCTGCAGAGCCCGCAGGTGGTACGGTTTGGATCTTTACAGGAGTTTGCCGACCCCTGGTCTACTGTCCAATAGAAATACGGTGCAAGGCACATGTGTGAGCTGATAACACTTTCTAGTGGCCACATTTTAAAAAGTGAAAAGAAACAAATGAAGTCAATTTTAATGCTTTATTTAACCTATGTCCAAAATATCATTTCAACCTGCCATGGCTATCAAACACTACTGAGGCACTTTATGTTCTTTTCACATGCTGTCTTCAAAACCCAGTGTGTATTGATGCTGCCAGCACAGCTCACTTCAGACCAGCTGCATTTCAGGTGCTGGAGAGCCTCCCACAGCACTTGGACCCCTGCAGGGTGAGACCAGGCCTCAGTGCAGAGGTCAGTCAGCCTTGACAGGGCGCTCAGGCTGGAGGGGGAGAGTTTTTCTTGAACTGACACTCCAGTCCTGCCTCAGAGATATCATCCCCTTCCCTCAGAAGGTGGCCCAGCATAAAAAAGACAAATTTACTTTTCTAGTTGCAAAATGTGGCAACCCCCTTGCTCCTGAGTGTGTGCTGATCTTGTACTTTCAATATTAGGCATCCTCAAAGGGCCCTGCATGGCTCATGGTGGTTCAGCTCTTCTGATTCTGGGTCCTTTCTTTGGTGGTTAAAATCATCCGGTGTGGTTCGGCTGGTTGGAGCATCATCCTGTAACCTAAAGGTTGCAGGTCCAGTTCCTGATCAGGGCACAACCAGTCAGTGCTTCTCTCTCTCATTGATGTTTCTTTTCTCCCTTCCACTCTCTAAAAGCAATGAAAATGTCCTTGGGTGAGGATTTTTTTAAAAATCTGCAAGACAGATGTCAGTATCAGCACTATAAAGCTCACTTTCCTTGGCCCACCAGAGCTAGAGGGGAGGTAGCTGGAAGTAGGGCCTTGTTTCTTACTGTCCTGAACCTCTGCCTCAGAGCATATAGTCAGTTATGGGACTGTCTGTACGTTTGACCTCTCCTCTGGTATTTCTTCAGCTGACTTCCTACTTGTACGCAGAGGGATCACCCTGAATAGCATTTAAATAGCTATCTTTCTAGAATTACTGGTGCTTGTGGTTTCCTTGATCCTGTTTCGGAATTTAGTCAACTCTTTCCCCCAGAACATTTAAACTCTTTTCGCCATCAGGGCCTTCATGGCCTATGGCATCCTTTTCCACCATTAATGGACATGCCTCTGTGAACATTTATCCGCTCACCCCATATTCCCCAAGCACTGCTCTGTGCTCGGCAGCTGCAGTCGTGGGAGGTGCAGCAGTGAGATGCAATCACCGGCAGTCAAGCGAGAGGCGCAGGCTCCTGGAAACACAATTCTGGTGCAAGGCGAGACGTGGGACAGCTTGCATGTGGACACCCAGAGAAGAGCCGCCTAGGGGAGCCTGGGGGTGGGGGGAGAGGGAAGATGGGAGAAAGGCAATGTGTCATGTCCTCAGGTTCAGTGCACAGCGACCTAACGACTTGCTTTTGTTCCTGCAGGCCAGAGCCCAGAAAGTCCTGCAGAAGCTGGGCGACGTACAGGAAATATTTCACAAGAGGCAGATGAGTCTGATGAAACTGGCTGCCAGACAGACTCGCCCTGTGCAACCTGTGGCCCCCCATCCTGAGTCTTCCCCAAAATGGGTGTCACCAAAAACCAGCCAGCCCTCTGTCTTGGGTAGGTTATTTGGAGAAGAAAGCTTGTGGCTTTATGTTTTATCATTGCCCATGAGTGTTTAAGATGACTAATAGTTGTTGTTTTGACAGATATTATTTAAAACAAACTACAGATATAAAATAGTGTAGGCATTGAGGACTTACAAAGTTTGATAAAATTTTGGATGCAAGGAGAAGCTCACAGTCTAATAGAATAATAATATAAACACACAAATAATATTAGTATAAAATAGGCTCCATTAAGGACCTTTAAAAGTTCTTTCTACCAATCCCACATGGTCTTGATTACTATAGTTTATTACTAAGCCTTGAGATCAGTTAGTGTAAGTCTTGTAACTTCATTATTTTTCAAGATTGTTTTGGGTATTTTGGGTCCTGTACATTTCCATAAAAATTTTAGAATCATCTTTCAATTTCTGCTGGGATTATGGCTCAGATTTCACTGTACAGATCACCTTGGGGAGAACTGTTATTGTGCCAATATTGAGCCTTGTGGTTCATAACGATTATAACTCTCCATTTCTGTAGGTCCTCTTTAATTTCTCTTGGCACTATAGCAGTTTTTAGTGTGAAGTTCTTAGGCATTTCATTTTTTTTACCCCTATAGTAAATAGAATCACCATATATAACTATCACAGGAATATACTCCTAAATGGAAATATAGTATGTCATCTATGAACAGGGACAATTTTACCTCTTCTGTTTCAATCTCTAGGCCTTTTCTTTTCCTGCATCTTATTCTATTGGCTGGAGGACCTCCAGTACAGTGTTGAGTAGAAGTGATAAGGGCAGACATCCCTATCTTTTCCTCATGTTAAGGGAAAGAGTTCATGTTTCATCTTGAGGTGTGATGTTAGTCAGTGTTTTACAGATATCTTTTACCAGCCCGAGGATGTCTTTAACAGACTAGGCCTGTCTGTACCTAGTCTGATGAGAGTTTTCATCAAGACTGATTGGAGTTTTTCAGATGCTTTTTGGTGCTGTGTATTGAGACGAACATATGGTTTCCTCCCTTATTGTTAATATGGTGAATTAGAGTGACTTATGTGCAGATGTTAAAACAATCATACACTCCTGGGAGAAACCACTCTTGGACATGATGCACATGTTATTTGCTGCTTCATTTTGAAACTTTGTTATTAAGCAGATGCTTATTCATATTTGTATCTTCCAAATATACTGGCCCTTTTATAACTATAAAATGTCTCTCCTTCCCTCCTTATCTTTAGTAAAACTCTGTCTTAAAGTCTGTTTTGTCTGTTATTGATACAGCCTTCCCAGGTTTCTTATGCTTAGTGTTTGCATGAGATACTTTTTCCATTCTTCTATTTCTCTTTTTCTTTTAAAAGTGTATTTCTTGTAGGTAGCATATAGTTGGGTCCTACCTTTTTAAAACATTCTGTTAACCTCTGCCTTCTAATTGGAGTATTCAGTCCATTTATATACAATGTAATTAAGGACATAGGTGGATTTAGAGCTACTATTTTGTTATTTGTTGTCTATTTGTCTCATATGTTTTTAAAAAATTTCTCTGTTCTTCTTTTCCTGCCTTTTTTTGGGTTAGCAAATTTTTTCTTGTCTTCCTTTTTAATTCTTGTTGATTTTTTAGCATACATATGTTTTTGCATTGTTTCCCCCCAGATGTTTCTTTCAGGGACTGTTGCATGCATCCTTAATTTACAGAAATCTACTTCAAGTTAATGTTGTACAGTCTTTGAAAAATACAGGAAATTTGCACCAGCATATTTCCACACACTCCACCCGTTCTCTGTGCTATTCTTACCACGAACCTTGTGTCTGCCCATGTTGACTCCCCCAATATTGTGATATAATTTTTGCTTTAAACAATCATAGGTGTTTTTAAAAAATTAACAGAAAGGAAGAAAAAAGAAAATGTATGTATTCTTTTATATTTACCATCCTATTCACCATTTGCAGTCTTCTTTATTTCTTTATTTCAGTTAGCCATTTCACTTCAGGTGGAAAAACTTCCTTTAGCATTTCTTGCTGTGTAGCTCTGTTTGCAACAAATTCTTTCTGTTGTTATTTACCTGAAAATTATGGGGTCTTCTGATTAATTCTCTGTTTGTACAACTTGCAGTCCTTTGTCTTTTATCATATATTCCAGTTTTTAGAAAACTTGATTAGAGTTTAGTGCATTTCTTCCTGAATTTTTCCATGTGCACCTGTGTGCATGCACACACACACACACTCAGACACACTTATGGGCACATACCAGAGATATGTACAAACACTCACACACATGGAGACATCCTTCTTGGATGGCAGGAAACAGGACTTCCTTCTCCTGATCTCTCCTCTAGGCCTCTTTCCCCAAACTAAATTATGTTTACTTCCGTGCCTTTGCTTCTCTCATTGTTTTAAGGGATACATGTTTGTTACAGGTAAATATAGCAGGAATGATGAATTGTTTCTGTTTTCAAACCCACGATTTAATCATAGGTAATGAACCTCCTAAGGTAAACAGATCTTTGTCGTGTCTGAACATGTATCGTTGACCTTGGTCAAGCGACTTGTTCATTTTGCAGAACAATCCTATGCTTGTGTTTTGGAGCATAATGACAAGAGTGTGGGCTCAGGCAGGTCACTAACAGGATTTTCAAACACTTTTGTCTGATTCTTGGTAACCAAGTCTGTGCCAAGGTAAACTATTCTATTTCACAGTGTGAGGAACATGGGCAGAGAGCTTAGAGATGGGAACTGAAATGTTAGCTCTGACTTTTGTTAGCTAGGTTCTTGGGTAGAACATTTAATCTCCCTGAAGTTAAATAAAGAATGTGAACAAAGTTCTTTTTAATACCATGTGGCTATACTAATAGCTAAAATGTACTGAGTATTAATATGATCTAAACACTTTGTAGCTATTAACTCACTAAAGTCTCATAGCAACCCAGTCCTATAGGCTTTCTCATCATTCCCCACTTTCCAGTGGAAGAAGCCAATGCACAGGGATTTCTCCGTGATGTGCATCTCATACATGAAAGAGCAGGACTTGAATGAAGGCAGTATGGCTCCCACATCTCTGCCTTTAATTTTGTCATTGTACTTAATGGTGTTAAAGGGCAGGTGCTTCTCAGTCATGGGTATTGCCAATTACAGTGAATACGTGTTCAGTATCCAATTATTATACCTGGAATCACTCAGCGTATGGAGATCCTGCAGAAAGTGAGGAGCCCAGAGGATTGCCCATTGCCATAGAGCAGCTTCATGGGGGCAGTGCACATGCACTTCACAGATTTCAGCAGAGCCTCCATGAAAAACTCATAGAAAGCCCAAGATGCGTCCAGTTGGCTCATAGAATCTGAGCGTTGCCAGGGGCTCCTGGAAGTTAGATGGGTGCCTCCACCAAGGCCACCACACATAAGAATCGGAGTGATATACTGGTGGCATTAGATGGATGGCATTTTGACCAGGAAACCCAGAAACTAAGTTTACCTACCACTTCAGCAATCACCACAGCAACTCAACTTAGGTTTGTTAATCAACTGCCTCAACACAGTCCGGCTACTTGTTCAAGTCAGACCAAGAGCTGAGTGATTTATAAGCCAAACCACTAAATTAATGGCAGGTTTTCTTTGTCTCTTTAGCTTCTCTTCAGAAAACATCTGAGCAACCCTACGCAGAGACAGATTGGAACTCCCTGGAAAAGGAAGCTGACGAGACTAAATTTGAAGGCAAGGTAAGATCACCTTTCTTTCACTGGTACAGGTTTCTGACATGAGAGACTACCGCTGCTAATTAGCAATCAGTCAAGTCCCCCTGTTTCATAGCTATCATCAGTTCCAGAAAGCACACCCATAAAGGCCTGTAGCATAGACTAGTGCTCCCAAGAGTTGAGGTTTATAGGATTTCTTCCTTTTCTTTCTTGTTAACTGCAACTAGATATGAAAAACCACTTGGTAATATGTAATTGTTAGCAGATATTGTTTTATTGAGGGAAGTCATTTTATTCATCCCTGTGACCTGACTTCATATTTAAAATTGGTAGAATGGCATATATAGTCTATGCATAAAAAGCACATGAAAAAATTGTGTAAGAGCTACGCACACACAGAGCGCACGTGTAACTGGTGAGCTCTGAGTAAATCCTGAGGATTGCGCCGATGTCATTTTCCTGGTTTTAATGTTATGCTCAATTCATGTAAGATGTAAATGCTGGAGGAGGCTGGGGGCAAGGGTGCACAGGACTTCTCTGTATATTTCTTTGTAATCTCATGGGACTCTATAATTATTTCAAAATAAAAGTTCGAAAGAAAAAGAGCATAAGCTTTGGACTCAGGCAGACCTGAATTTAAGCAACATAACCTCTCTAAACTTCACCTGTAAAAACAGAATAACAATAGCTACCTCCTGAAACTGTTTAGAGCATCAAATGAAAATAAGAAAATTGCCAAGCACTGTATAACTGTAAAGTAACATTATACTTAAAAAACTGGAAGGAAATGAATTATAAGTATATGCTGTGGCACACCTACCCCAGAGAGGTCCCCTGTCCCCTGCTTCATTGAAAATTAAATGTCTGGCTGGATGAATGTTTCTGAAACCAGAGGCCAGGAGAACATGGGCTCAAATGCACTCGAGCAACAGTTTGCATCCGTTATCAATTCCTAATGTGTCTGAATACAGGACTCCATGGGGACTCCGCTGACCATCAAGGAGTCAGGCCACGAGCTAATCTTAGACTTTTCTTCCTGGAGGCAGAAACACAGTGAGAATGAGCTCCCAACAGACTTTTCTTAGAGAGAAAAAGCTGCATTCTTCTGTAATTTGTTTGGATATCGCTGTGCTATATTCTGGGCAGATTAGGACACTGTCATTGCTGTTCCAGAATCTCTCATGGTTAGAGAATTGCACCACCGTGTCTTCCAGAGTTAGGAAACAGTCTGCAATTTTATAAGCCTTGATTAATCATTTAAAAAACCATCAACTTTTGGAAATGGGTAAATGAAATGCTTCACCAGACTTGACATCCATGAAGTCTGTGGAATCATTTAAGTGACATTAAAAAAGAAAAGGGTTGCTTTTAAACTGAGCAGGCTAGAAGGGAGTGGCATGAAATATTTAAAGTGATCAAAAGCAAGGACCTACAGCCAAGACAGATTTACCCAGCAAAGATATCATTTAAAATTGAAGGAGAAATATAGAGCTTCCCAGACAAGAGGGGGAAAAAGCTAAAGGAGTTTATGGAATTTAAAGAAGTCAGTGGAATTTATTCCTGGGTTGCAAGGTTGGTAAAATACCTGCCAATCAAGAAATGTGACAGACCATATAAAAAAATGAAGGAGAAAAATCTTGTGATCATATCAATAGATGCAGAAAAAGCATCTGATAAAATTCAACACCAAACACAGAGTTGGAGAAATCATTCTACCTGATATGAAACTATACTACAAGGCCATAGTAATGAAACAGCAAGGGACTTGCACAAAAACAGAAACACAGATCAATGGAATAGAACAGAGACCAGAAATAAACCCACACCATTATGGTCAATTCTTATTTAACAAAAGAAGCAAGAATATACAATCAAATAAAGATAGTCTGTCTAGTCAACAAATGGTGTTGGGAAAATTGGACAGGTATATACAAAAAAATGAAACTAGATGACCTTTTTACACTGCATAGAAGAAGAAATACAAAATGGATTAAAGACTTAAATGTTAAACTTGAAATCATAAAAATCCTAGAAGGAAACATAGGCAGTAAAATATCAGATATTTTACATTGCAACGTTTTTTCTGATATATCTCCTCAGGCAAGGGGAACAAAAGAGAAAATAAATAAATGGGACTACATCAATCTAAAAAGTTTTGCATAGCAAAGAAAACCATCAAAAAAATGAAAAGACAACCCACTGAATGGGAGAACATATTTGCCAGTGATACCTTTAATAAGGGGTTAATATCCAAAATTTATAAAGAACTTTGCAATACAACACCAGAAAAACAAACAATCCAATTTAAAAAGTGGGCAAAAGACCTGAATAGACAGTTCTCCAAAGAAGACATACAGATGGCTTATAGACATGAAAAGATGCTCATCATCACTAATCATGAGAGAGATGCAAATTAAAACCACAATGAGATATCACCCCATACCTATCAGAATGGCCATCATCAATAAATCACTAAACAACATGTGCTGGTGAGGAAGTGGACAAAAGGGAACCCTTCTGCACTTTTGGTGAGAATGCAGATTGGTATAGCCACTGTGGAAAGCAGTGTGGAGCTACCTCAAAAAATTAAAAAAGGAATTGCCTTATGACCCAGCAATTCCACACTTCTGGGAATATTAAAAAAAAACCCTCTGAAACCTAGTTTGAAAAAATATATGCACCCTTGTTTGTTGCAGCATTATTTACATTAGCCAAAATTTGGAAGCAGCCCAAGTGCCCGCCAGTGGATGAATAGATAAAAAAACCTGTGTTCTTTACAAAGTAGAATACTACTCAGCCATGAAAAAGGAGATCTTGCCCTTGCTGGTGTGGCTCACTTGGTTGGATCTTCGTCCCAGAGCCGAAAGAGTGCAGGTTGGACTCCTGGTCAGAGCAGTTGACTAGGCTGCGTGTTTGATCTCTGGTCCAGTGCCTGTGATCCCTGGTCCGAGCGTGTGCGGGAGGCAACCAATTAATATCTCTCTCTTACTTAGATGTTTCTCTCCCTTCCTCTCTCTCTAAAGCAAAGAAAAATACGCCCTCAGGTGAAGATTTAAAAAAAGTAAAGGGAAAAAAAAGAAGGAAATCTTAACTTTTGCAACAGCATGGATGAACTTGAAGAGTTTAATGCTGAGTAAAATAAGCCAGTCAGAGAAAGACAATCACCATATGATTTCACTTATATGTGAAACCTAATGAACAAAATTAACTAAAAAAAAAAAGACAAAAACCAGACTCATAGATGTATAGAACAGATGGACAGCTGTCAGAACATAGGGGTTAGGGGGACTGGGTGGCAAAGGTGAAGGGATTAAGCAAAATAAATATATTTCTATAAGTCACATTGATTATTTACTTCTATCTTACATACTGGTAAAAACAGCCAATGTAGAAGCAAAGGCTTAAGTTAGAATCCAAGAAGCTCTGACAACCAGACTTTTGGTTTCTTCCTTCTGCTGTTAATTTAGACTCCAAACCCATCCTGCCAAGCTGCTAGGTCCCTCTGCGCCTAGGCAGATCCCCAGCAGAACACGTAGTGTAAGTAGACAAAAGTCTGTATGATAGTCATCTTTCTGGGCTTCTGTTTTTTTCTTACTGTTACTTTGTTTGTGTATTTAATGAAGGGCTTCGCATGTAATACTTAACAGTCAAGGTGGGGGTGGAGCTGGGTGGGAACGGAGCTACCGAACTTCCTCAGTGTGGCAAACAGAAGCTGCTCTGACTTCTGCTTCTAAAGCCCAGGGCTGTAAGAAGCAGTGTGAGCAGAAGAGAATCCACGCAGGCAGTCGTGAACAACACGAGTAGGAAGAGTGAGGATTTGTGCATTAAATCCCCAAATTCTAGATTAAAAAATCAATTTAGAACCAATAAATGCAAAAGTATTTCCCAAGGTGGGGAGTAAAACCAAGGAAATCATAAGTCCAAAACAGGTAAGAAAGCTAGTAAGAAAGGTTGGAAAGCTAGTAAGTAGGTTAGAAAAAAGGTCTAGATTCACGTTGGCATGGTCTACATATTACTGAACCCAAGAGGTTCGCAGCTTGGAGTGTTCCTGGTTGTAGCAAAATAGTTTTATTTACCTGCTGCAAGTAGAGGAGACAGGGGATTCATACGCAAAGTTCTGTCTTCCCTGAAGGGTGGTTTAGCCATTGACACTCATATTTAGTCAATTACCTGTTGATTTCTTCTTTGCAGTTGGCTGCACTTACCTGGTTGAGTTCTTGTCAGGCTCATCCTGTTTATAGCTGGTCTGCAAAATACTATGCTGCATTTTAACATTTAGCAAGAATAGCATTTCGTAAGACTGGTCCAGACCTGGAGACCCTCGTCCTGTCTAACAATCCCCGCCATGAGATATTTTACTCCTCCTTGTTGAAGGAATGGGGATGAGGGTCATACTTTTGTACAAGCTTCCTGATGAACATGGACAGGGTACATCTTTGAGATCTAGCAGTAAAATTCTCTGGCTGCCTGACTTATGAACGTCCTGGGGTCCCCTAGGTTCTGGGATTCCCGAGGACAGGAGTGACTAAAGACAGCATTCCTCTAACAGGAGACATGTGCCATAAGAGGTGAAGCAGAAGCTGGGGGAAAATCTAGGGGACCGAGAACCTACCGAGAACAAGCTCAGTGGACGAAGCACAGCAGTCCCAGAGGGGAAGGGATGCAAGATATGAGTTCTGCACGGTATCTAGTCGGTGTCCACAGCTTCTCAAACACACTGACACCTGTCGTGTGGCCGAGCGAAGAGCTGCTCCTCGTAAGGCACCTTGGCCTGGGGGAAGGAGGGAGTCCTGACAAGGCCCTCTGCCTCTGCTCTTTTGGGACACTGCACCCCAGAGAAGTCCCTGCAATGGCAGCAGGCACCCCCGGGGAACATAAACTCTGCAGGTGTAAGTGTACACATGTACACATACAGAAGGAGGGAAAGGCCAAACATGTGAGGCCACAGTGTTCAGGCCCAGCCCAAGGCCTTCTGTGTTGAGACATCCTGTTAGACACCACCCCTGGGTAAACCAGCTACATAGCTGCAGTTCAGAGTCTAAAGCCCTTCTGAGCACACAGGGAGGAAGCATCACTTACTTGCAACCTCTTTATCCCCCAAACCTTCTGCCCAGCAGGCACTGGGATGGGCCTCAAGATGAGCAGATCACCTGAGGTCTATGTAACCCGCAGACCTCAGACTATGGCTCATCTTTCACAGACTATGGCTCCTCCACCCCTTGTCCCCAGTTTGGAAACATTAGGAGCTCAAGACTGAAAATGAAACAGCGGCAGGCGCAGGCTGTAATGAAACAGGAAGGAGAATCAAGGAGAGTCAGTGATGCCACGAGGGGCTCCACCCTCTGGCTTCCAGACTCCTACAGGAGGTGGGTTGAGAAGGCTTCCCCAAGCCTTTCCCACCCTGTCCCAGGCAGGTGGGATTGTGGGAGGCAGAGTACAGGGCCAGGATGCCTGGTTTAACAGCTGGGCTCACCTGCCACAATTCAGACCCAATCTGCAAAAAGGAAAGTTCTGGGTGGTGCGGCCTCTCTGCACCTGTCTCCCTTCCAGCCCGCGCCTTAGCAGTGCACTGTTCTGTTCCTAAGCTTCCATGGCTGCCTCTGGCTGCAACAAAACACTGGGCTGCTCCACCTTGCTGCATCCACAGCAGGGCAAATGCCCAGGTCAGCTCATCCCACTGCCAGTCAGCAGGCTCCCAAAGCCATAGGGGCCCATGCCCAGGCCAAGTGGGGGCCATGCCCTATAGATGGACACAGCTTAGAGGCACCCTGTCTTGCTCGTGGACACGAAGAGCAACCTCTCTCACCTCTACCTGTCCCACCCCACTGCCAACACATAGCTCTGGAGGAGAGAGGGAGCTTATGATGCTGCTCAGAAAAGAAGCTGAGGTCTGAGGCATCTTGTGGACTTGACTGGGCTCTGTCAAGGGAGTGCGTGGCTGTGCACTGCCCAGAGTCAGTGATCTCAAAACTGTCCTTGCAGGTGAGTGGACAGGGAACCAGTAAATTACTTAAGACCACTGTACACTCATACTGAAAACAAATCATTTCCCATGTCATTTCCACCTTCTTCCCACATTATGTGACTAGGAAGTCCACCCTTTTGGCTTTTGCTACTCAAAATACACACATGTGGTTGATTCTACCTGTTTCACTTTGCAAGTCCAGTGAAGCTGACTCAAACTACATTTTTAAATTATAGCAGACTTTGCTCTTTTCTGGCACCAATCCAGTCAGACAATCTTAGATTTATGTAGTTGTCAATATTCCTAGGATATTTGGCCTCTATTACTACATCTTTGGTAAAATTTCTGAAATCACACCTGCTAATAGAACATTTCTTTCTGCCCATGAGACCCTTTGAAGAGGTGTGGCAGGTAACTTTTTCCTTATCCTTCGGGGAGAGAAGCTGTAGGAATCTTACTCAGACAGCTTATAGATGAAACCAGCAATTCTTCCCCTGTAACCCCAAGCACATATCTTTACACTGTTAGCCATAGGCTGGCCCCCAAGTCCCACAGCCAGAGCTTTGCCACTCAGTCTTGCTTGTCCCCGAGCACCTCCACTGGAGGCCACATGCTGCCTTGCCCATCTCCTCAGTGAAGATGGTGCGGCCGGTCTGATGGGAATGTCCTTGCTGCTGAGGGAGCTGCTGGGTGCCCTCCCAGTTTCCCGTCACGGCTTCCATTCTGGCTGCGGATGCACAGAAAGTGCACCCTTCAGATGGACTCGGGGTGGGAGTTGTCGGGCAGAAGCTTACGTGTGGTCAGTAAGGGCTGAAACCCAAGGAAGCAAAGAAGCTGTACTTAGAATTCAGTGCCTCCCAAACCCACAGTAGACTCCCAGCCTGGAGCAAGGCTGCCTTGGACAGGACAGGCAGTTTCCTACCATTGACACATTTGTTATATTTCCTAATTTATACAAGCATTTAATTTAAGTCAAATAAACAGAGTTCTTTTTATCCGGTTCTGAAGGATGCACCCCAAGGAGCTGCATTCAGGGGTGAATCTGAGTTTCACATGTCCATGTAAGACAAACAAGGCAAATGCACAAAGAATACCAAAGTCAGACAACCAGACCAGGGGTCATCAAGAGAGCACATCTGATTTTTGTCCTGCAGGCACTCCTCAACTCTCCACAGTGAGACCTAGGTTGGACCCTGAATCCAGCATCCTGGAGACAGTTCCTGTCTGACCAACCAGAAACAAACACACTCCAGAGCTGAAGCTGCCTTTCCAACAACCCTAGACCTAAAACAGGACCAGAAACACTAATTAAAGTGACCACAGGGGCTGACCTACCGACTCCCTTCCAAAGTGCTGAACAAAACAGGTTCAGGTGGCCACTCTGCTTTGCTGTTGAGGCAAGCCAGGTAGCCATTCCAGTGGTCAGTACCAAACGGGAGTCTCCTATAGAACAAACCCTCCGTCCGGTGGAGACATGGCATGTAAGTCCTTGGCGAGCTGCTGCCCCTGCTGACTGCTTCGCCAAGCATCCACACCAGGCTCGGAAGGAGTCACTTAGGAGAGTTCAATCTGAGCTGACAAATTTGTTAATGAACTCAAAAGGGGCTCGCCATTTGGGGTGTTCCATTCAAGAACAAAAAAGAAGTGGTTGTTGCAAGGTAGTGCTATGTACTTGCAGCAAGTAGACAGGGATTCATATGCAAAGCTCTGTCTCCCCTGAAGGGTGGTTGAGCCATTGCTTATATATACTATTCAGTCAATTACGTGTTGATTTCTTCTTTGCACTTGGCTGCACTTACCTGGTTGAGTTCTTGTCAGGCTCATCCTGTTTACAGCTGGTCTGCAAAATACTATGTTGCATCTTAACATTTAGCAAGAATAGCATTTTATAAGACTGGCCCAGACCTGGAGACCCTCATCCTGTCTAACAGATAGGTTATTAAGTGGGGAACAAGGAAGTTGACTAACATGAAGAACAGTCATTGCTGCTTGTGTGATGTAGCCACTGCCGAAGACAGAACATGCATCAGACTCCATGTGATACTTCTGACATCTTTTTGGCATTTGGCCTGGAACTCAAAGATAAAATCAGTCCCTGAGAGCGAATCCTGACATTGTGATAAACGCCTCTCTGTGTCCTCCAGACTAAATGCTCAGAGTGAAAAAGAAAAGCTGTGAAGGAAAACCACTTACTACCTGCAACAAAAATAAAGATACGTTTTTATCATTGTCAGAGAACTCATTTCCATAAAATGTGTTCCGAATCCCCACAGGGTGATCCTCGTTGTGTGGTTCGTAGGGACTTAGCAGACTAAATGCGACAATGTTGCCGAGACTGTGGGCCTGGGCCTGGGCCTGGGCTCACCCACAGGCCTGGAGAAGCCCAGCGGTGGAAAGGGAGATTCGCTCTGGTTGCTGGCAGCGGTGCTGTGGTGCTTCCTGTCCAGCTGGAAGCTGAGAGCGTGACTCACAGGGGCTGCTCGCCTCACAGCCTCTGCAGAGCGAGAAAGGAGCCAGGGGCTGATGAGAATGCCTGTTTCCTGAAAGAACCCTCAGGATGAAGGAGGACCTACTGGCCGTGAGCAAACAGGCTCCTCCATAAAAATTTACAAAAACAGAAAAAGCCACGTTGGAAGGAAGCGGAGGGATGAAGGAATGGCTGCCCCAGCACCAACTGAGGGCCGGGCATCGTGCAGTGTGCTGCCGCGACCTGATTTTACCACAAGTCCTCAGCATCGTGTGAGGAAGATGATGAGTGTCCCTTGTTTTGTCCCTGGCACTGTTGAGACTCTGAGAAGTTAAGTGAGTTTCCCCAAGGGCCACACAACTAGTAAATGGTGACGCTGGGATTTGAAAGTAGCCATTTACTTAACTGCAGTTTACTTATCTAACTTAACCCATCTTCTTGATTACTTACTTAATCTACTTAATTAGCTGTTTGCTTAATCCCTCCAATTCTAAATTTCCTCTTCTGCAAAATAGGATTTTAAAAAGTGAACCCACAGGTGGTTTATTAAAGGAAAAGCGTGTCGGAAGCACAGAGTGTCACGGAGCGTGGTGCCTGACCCTGAGCAGATTCTTAGTAATTTTCATCTCCCATTTAGTCCAGTGTTTATAGATAGAATTTCTGTGTAAAAGATGAAAAGGAGCTGAAGCAAGGTCAGATTCGGGTCTTAGATTGAATAGCTTTTCCTAATCTCACCTGTGTACGTCTTGGCCGGACAACCACAGCTTAGGGCCAGGTGCCATTCCCTGCTTTCTGTTCCTTTGAATCCCACAAGCTTTCATTTATCTTCCTAGTTCGAAAGAGGAGAACTATGTGAACTCTGAGTATATTACTGTGTTCGCCTTCTATGATGTTTGAGGTCTAGTCATTCTTAGAGCTAATAAGAGATTCGGAGAATCCACCAAATTCTTGAGGCAGCCCCTAACCAAGCTCTCTGAAGAATTTCTAGGATGAAGTTTTTCAAACTCTCCTCGGTCCTGCAGTCCTGAGAAGCTTAGAGAGAAGGCAGACCCTCAGACCCCGTCATCAGAGATCCTGATTCAGAAGGTCTGGGGTAGGGTCCAGGAACCCGAACTTTTAACTTACATGTTTGGTGGCAAGAATGCAGGTGGGACAAGGACTTCAGTCACATTGGCCTAGAAGCTATATTCATTGGCCATAAGGACTTGGGATAAAGGTGAACTCATTAAGGTGGATACGAATCTCTTAAGCTAAGAGAAAATCCAAAATTCAGAGGCACAAGGGTGTGATTATATTAATCTATGATAACGTATTTTTACTGTGGGAGCTAAGAAGAGAAAATAGTAGTAAGACCGCTGTTGGCTTTGCTCTTTGACCAGTAAAAGGTTGACGTGACTGAAATGTTTCACAGGCCCATTTCAGGTAGCTTATTCAGCTCAATTTAATATATAACAGAGCAGGGCTCTGGGTCATATGGAAATAATTCTAACATGGGGCCTAAACTCAGGAAACTTACATGTTTCATGGGGAAAACGACGTATTTCCAAAAATTATATTATAAAGCAAATGACATACCTCAGAAGAAGGAATATAACATATTAAAAGGCAGTACAAAGCCCTGGCTGGTGTTGCTCAGTGGATTGAGTGCAGGCCTGCAAACTAAGGGATCGCAGTTCAATTCCCAGTCAGGGCACATGCCTAGGTTGCAGGCCAGTTCCTAGTGGGGGACACACGAGAGGCAACCATACATTGATATTTCTCCCTCTCTCCTTCCCTTCCCCTCTAAAGACAAATGAATAAAACCTTCTTTAAAAAAATACAGGGCGGTGCATAACTACTACATTTGTGATGCTTTCAGGAGGTGACATTTGAACTTAACCTGAAAGAATAAATACAACTGTGAGAAGTGGATAAGGCAAAGGAGGACATTCCTTCCAGGAAGGGGAAGGGTGTGAAGTCTCAGTTGCCTGAAGGAGCACAGGCTCTTCTGGGAGTGGTTTCCGAAAGCTAGGAAGGCCAACCAGAGAGACAGGCTGCTGCCGAAGGCTTTGGCTGACGGTCGTTGCCAGGGAGGCCGCCTGTGTATTAGAGAGGTAGCTCGGGGAAGACAATGAGGAGCAGATTAGGTGAAGGTGGGCAGACGGACCAGCTGCCCACTTTGTCACAGTCTGGGTGAGTGTCAAGAAAATTCGCAGCATATGGGGAACTTCTTTTTTTTTTTTTTTAATTTTATTTAGTTATTTTTCAAGTGCAGTTTTTTGTCTTCTTTTAATGTTCTAATACAATTATTTCCTTCACATTTCTTGGTTTGGGAATGAGAGGAAGGTATCTTGTGACGTGTTCCTTACTTTTGAGAACTTATTCAGAGCTACAGGCTTGCAAGTCTTTGTTAAAATAATGTTGCAATGTTTGCAGTTTTTTAAGAAGTTACTTCCCCCAAAACCAAAAATTATAGTGTTTAGAATATTCATCCAGCCTATAAAAAACCATTTAACTGGTAAAAACATTAAACTAATTACTAACAATGCTAGCTGGGAAACTTTAAATTATAGGTCAAAGAGACCCTGGGGAAATTTTGAAGAAGTAAAAGTTTGCATGTAGGAAGCATCCTATCTTTCTCTAATCACTTCCCATTTCCAGAAAGCCTCAGAACCACTCAGGACTGTCTCCTTGAGCCTGCCCTTCTTCTCCAAAGGGCTTCGGTCAACAGAATGTTCTAAAACATTCCTCTTCTCTCCTTTCCTTTTCAAAATCCCCCACCCAGTGCAGCTGGTCTGGACTGGAGACAGGAAAAATCTGAATGAGCTGGTTCACAGCAGTGCGTGGAGAATAAATGACTGACCGCCCCTTTAACCTCCAAATGTGTGCCTGCCATTTTTAAAAGGGGCTGCCAATACATACATACATACATACATACATACATACATACATACATAAAAAGAGGTTGCCTCATTTTCCGAAGGAATCCAGGTGATGGCCTGTTCAGGTGCATCGGTGAAGAGCAGGAGAAGATGTGATGTGCAGGGAAGGGCCGGCGAGTGACATGGAGCAAAGAGCAGACCAGCCGGCTTTCCATCCCGGAATCTGCTTCCAGGAGAGATTCTCGAAGTGGTTCTTGCTTTTCAAAGGTTCTTATTATTCTTCACACCAGAACCCACAAAACCTCAAAAATAAAAAAATTAAAAAGGGAGGGTTACCACCTTTGCCCCAGCAGTCCCAGCAGTGGAGAGGGGAGGCAGCCCAGCCTCTCCACACTGCTGGTTTGCACTCTGAACGGTGTCTCTAAGAACCGCCACCCCCCCACTGTAACGTCTCAGTGATTCTTCCTTGTCATACACTTCATTTATTTTTCTCATGTTTTCATAATTTACAGTGCCAGAAAATGCTTCACCTTAAACCATTCTCAGAGTGATCGCTCTTTCATACTTTAAGTGGTTCAACCCCTCATGTACCTTACCTGTACTCAAAATGAGGTCCAATTGCTTTCCCTTTAAAGATGTGTCATAATGTAATGAATAATACTTTTATCTTTAATTATCAGATACCATCACATTAAAAGAGTTGGAACTGAAATTGCTTTCCTAGTGCTGACGGTGAATCAGCAACTGGTGTTAGACCAGAGGAGTCAGACCCGAACTTGGTTCAGCAACCTCAGTTTTAAAAAAATATTTACTTGTTTATTCATTTTTAGAGATCAGGGGAGGGAGGGAGGGAGGGAGGGAGGGAGGGAGGGAGGTGGCTTTCAAAGGGCCGAAAGCAATTTTAGGAGTGTATACTGGTAACTTTTCCTTAACTAGGGACATGTGGCCACAGGAACATGGGTTGCTGCAACCCAGTCCATGCCCAGGCATTTCAGGAAGCCCAGGAGGGCATCCCACGCATGACAAAGTCTATGAGTTAGAGGAGTGTCATCATTCAGTGTAAAAGATGACAAAGGCCACACCTGCACCTCGAGTCATCATTATTTTTCCATCACTAGGTTGTCATGAAATAAGAGCTTCTACAATCCACCACACTGACAAGAGATCAATCAGGTTCGAAAGAGCACAACTCACTTTGTCAGCAGTAAGCAAGTTCCACAGTAAGAGGGAGTCTGGTTAATAACAGTGGCTCATCTATATAACCCTGCATTTAGAATCCAAAGACAGATAAGACTGGGGTTCAAAGTCCGTGGGGATTTAGGGCACAATAATGTCACAGAGGAGGCACTGGAGAAGGATGCAATGTAACATTAACTGCTACAGTAATTAGTTCAACATTATCTAGAAAATGTGAACAAAGAGCTGTCTTTGTAGTGTGGCGAAAATAACTAGATTGGTTGGAATCCAGGGACTGGCGTTTACCTCTGTATAGTAACTAAAATAAAAAAGATATTCTATCCCTGGCTGTGTGGCTCAGTTGGCTAGAGCATCATTTCATGCACCAGAAGATTGTAGGTTCAATCTCTGATCAGGGCACATGCCTAAGTTGAGGGTTTGATCCTTGGTTGGTGCATACAGGATGCACCAATGTTTCTCTCTCTCCTCTCTTTCTCTCTCTCTCTCAAAATCAATGGAAACATATCCTCAAATGAGAATGGAATTTTATATATACATATATATATACATATGTATTTCATACACATATGAAATATATATATAATGTCTCTGCTCAATATATGTAATAGAGGTAACTAAAAATTCAGATTCTGAAATTATATCCTATTTTAAAAGAAAAAATACATAAACTTGGAATGTTGGAATGTAAGATTCCCCTTGTATTTTAGAGCTGAATTAGCAAAGCTAGTGTTCCAAATACTCCTTTATTTGTTAGCTTGCATTCCGGATATGATACCAGATTAGGGAAGACATGTATGAAAAGGACGAGAAAACCCATGATTCTGTTTTGGCCACTGAACATTTTTTTAATTGCCGTACCTGTGGTTGGCATTATGGATAACAAAGAAACTTCACCCTGACTGCTTTTGGGATGGACTCTCTTCTCATGCTGTCAGTGACCAAGAAGCTGCTCACTCTTGTCTGCTTTGCAAGACTTTCCCATCCGTTCCTCTGTCTGGGGAAAGCTCATTCTTCAACTTCCAGCTCTAAGTTACAAGGAATCTTTATGTTTATTCATTCAATTTCCCTTAATAATACTTTTGCAAGAGGGTTCTTTCTAAATCTATCCTCCTTTTTGTGAGAATGTAAAATAACTCATTTAAACAGAACCCAGCAGGCTGGAAGAACTCAAATCCTGGCTAGTTACCTGCTTGTTCATTATTTTAATACTTTTATCGTACTCTCTTTGCTATCAATGTTATACAAATTCACTTTCTTATTAAAATGATATTTTCTTGAGAGCAAACTGAGAGTGAGTCTTGCCTCTTATTGAGAATTAACTGCCTGGTATTGTTCTGAAAAAGAGCCACTGCAGTAGATAGTGGCAAAGGGTCTGTGTTCACGGGGAGGAGGTCAAGGTGGAGAGAGTGGGAGTGTGCCCAGGGTCTCGGAGCTGGCATGTCCGGAGCAGGGCCTCAGACCACCAGCTGGCTTTGAGCCTGAGCTGGTGGCCACTTTGCACTTCCTAAGGAACCAGCTGCTCTAAGAGGTAGCGTGACCCAACAGACAGATGATGACAAGCCTGTGAAAGCAGGCACCAGACTTACGTCAGCTCTGCCTCTAGCCTAGGGCAGGAGGCAACTTCTCCAGACCTTGATTTCTACCCAGAAGAGGAAAAAAAAAAAAGATATTTTGTCAAATAATCTCTTTATCTTTTAGCTTACACTCTGAATCTCTCTTCCGAATCGTCAGGAAAAAGGGAGGAGAGCAATTTTAATAGCCCGTCACTAAGCAAAAAGAATACCTGTTTTTTTGCTGCTCCTAAAGGAAGCAGGAAGGGCCAGCAGTAACAGACCCACACAATGGTTGGGGGAAACCCAGGGAGGAAAAAAATCGAGAAACTGGATAACTGGAGCTCAAGTGAAGAATTAAAGACAAACAAACAAAAACAAAGAAATTGAGGGGACTGAAGATAGATTTAGAGCTCCCCCACAAATAAAATAGACCGGCTTACCAAAATCTCTTTCACTTCAGAATGAAGAAACGCTGAAAGGCAGCCTCGGTGGGGAGAAGCCTGAGCTGGAGCAACCTGGGGGCCCTGAAAACCTCTCCCCCAGCAGGTGAGGTCACAGGTTCCTTTGCAGAAGTCATTTTAACCCCTTGTGGGGGGTGGGGGTAAAGGGTAGAGTACCCTCTGTTTTAAATCTCGTCACCTGTCTTGCCCAGATAAAATCACATATTTATTCTGTATACTCAATGTTCATTTATACACCTGAGAACAAAACTCATGGATCTCATAAAACAACAAGCAAGAACTGCAAATGACAGCCTATCAACCAAGTTCCCAAAGATACTCAGTGTTTGAAAAAATGAATTATCAAGAAAAAAGAAAGCGTAAACTATTGTGGATATTCATTGAATTATTGGTTTAAAAGCATTTAAAGGCAATAGGTTCCCAGAAGACGCAGGTTATACAAATTTAATGCTATTTTTGGCCTACAGGAAGGAGTTTACAATGCATGTGAGTGCTCTGCAGTTCAGGGGTAACAACCAAAAGCAGAAGAGAAAAACTCATTTCAAGTAGAACTTCTCCATACTTAGAACCCCCATCGGTTCGTTCGCACTCACTCCATTTGACTTCCTGACTTAGGAGTCCTTTTCACCCCGGGATCTATCATGCACAGCTCTTAGCAGGCCTCTGAAAAAATGCCTGCTCCGCCAGTGAATTCACACCTGCAGCAACTTGCTCCTTCATGAAAGCCAATGTTAGTTTAATGACACTGCTTTATAGTCTTTCACTCTAAGATGCCAAGAAACATGGAGACTCCTACTGATTGTAATGTGTCTTCGAGTTACCGTCAATGGCCAAATGCAGCATCTCTGAAAGTGTGTTTAGTCGGGTTGTCTCTGAAAAGCAGGGCTTGGCAAGGTGTTCTGTTGTTTTCCGCAAGTGGTGGTATATCTTTTGGGACTTTTCTGGTACTGCACCCTACCTACCTACCTTTATCATTGTAACTTTACTTTTAGAATTATAGGTCTTTCATTAGTCTTAACATCATAAACGTCTTGGTTAAATGGTCCTTTATGTTAGTTGGTGAATTATTGTTTGAATTCACAGTAGATCATTAAATCACACTTCTAGTGAGAATACAAAGGAAAAGTTACAGCTTTTAATGAAACAAAAATACCTTTATGGTTCTTGCCAAAGATGGTGAGAAAAGGCAAAAATAGCGAGTGGACTAAGCCAAAGATGGTGTTGCCGGTGGAAGTGGGGTCCTTGCCAGAAAAGCACTTTGTGCGACCCACAAGGGAAATGAGGTCTGGTGGTTCGGATTTATTTAGGTGAAAACAGCAGGCTGCCCTCAGTCCCCAAATCTTATCTATGTCTGTCACGCTCTGAAAGAAGTCCAATCTTGCCTTCATCAGGCCCAGAAATGGGGCCGGTGTGCACACACTTTGTGCCATTGATTCAGTCCACGTCTCTGTCCCAGTCTGGAAGTTTAGTCTGTTCCTGGCCTGAGACACAGGACACGGGAACCAAAGAATGGGAGGAACACGTGTTATGGGGGGCATGAGAGGATGGGGGGAGAGAGAGAGAGGAAGAGGGGCCTTTGTCTTCCTTACGCTCAGGATATATCATCTTGGGTTTGGGAAGGACCAGGTGCTTCTTTAAACTAACCAATCAACTCCCCAAGCTTTCATGGGCTCTCTGGACTTACCCACTAGCCAGTCTATTTTCCTAGATCTTCAGGGTTCGGCTTCTGTTATCCCGTCCAATCCTAGTCTCAAACTAGACTGGCAGGCCTCTGTGATTGCCATTTTAGTTCCTGCTGTGCGAGCCTCATAGAAGCGCTGCCCTGCGGGCCACTGGGCCACTGAGCCACTGACTAGCAGTGCGCATGTGCTCACGACCCCCTACAGCAGGACCACCCACCACTGACAATCTGGTGGGCTGCTGCTTACATAGGGGAACAGAGAGGTGTTCATCCCCTTGGCGGGCAATGCTGGCAATGCTGCTGTTCCCCGGAGTGTAAGAAGCTGTAGGTTTCTGGTTAAGCAGGATATGCTCCTTAGTTGACTGTGCTTAGCACTGACTTCCTTTGCTTCCTTCCTTTCTTTATTAATATTTAGCTACCTATGCTAATAATAGACTTTATAAGACTACTGTTTTTTGTTCTACCACCAGCTTTGAATACCTTAAAATCACTAATCTTTGCTGCAACAGTTTATATTTCCTTATTCACTTTTGATTTTAAATATTTGAGTTTTAATGCATAACACAAATAATTCAGGGTTAGAGTTGGTAAATACAATATGCTTGGCATATGGTAAGCATTCAGATTTTATCAGATAAATTATAAACTTTCAAGTAATATAGGTAAAATGTTATATCAGATGGTGTCCATTAGGGTTCTTTTTCCTTTTTACTGAATTTATTGGGGTGACACTGGTTAAGAAAATTATACAGGTTTCAGGTGCACAATTCTACAACACTTCATCTGTACACTGTATTGTGTGTTCACCACCCCAAGTCAAGTCTCCAAAAATCAACACTGATCTACCATAATCCTACCTCCACTACCCCGACCTGGTCCCTCTGTCGATCACCATACCATTGTCTGTGACAAAAAAAAAAAAAGCCTGGAAGTCTTCTGTCCTCCCGAAACTTTTGGAATAGTTTGAGAAGGATAAATGTTATTTCTTCTTTGAATGTTTGGTAAAATTCACCTGTTAAGGCTACCTGCCCAGAACTTGGGAGTTTTTGGGAGTTTTTTTTAAATTACTGCTTCAGTTTCACTAGCTGTGATCTGTCTATTCAAATTCTCTGATTCTTTCTGATTCTGTTTTGGAAGATTGTATGTTTCTAGGAATTTATCCAATTCATCCAGATTGTCCATTTTTTTTGCATATTATTGTATGTAATATTTTTTCCTCCTCTTTCTTCTCTGATTTTATTTATTTGGGTCCTCTCTCTTTTTTTCTTGATGAGTCTAATTAAAGGTTTGTCAATCTTATCTTTTCACAGAATCAGCTTTTGGTTTAATTGATCTTTTATATTGTTTTTTAGATTCTATTTCATTTATTTGTGTTTTATTTAATCTTTATTATGTTCTTCCTTCTACTCTGGGCTTTGTTCCTTGTTCTTTTTCAAGTTCCTTTATGTGTAAGTTTAGGTTGTTTATTTGTTATTTTTCTTGTTTCTTGAGGTAGGTGAGTAATGCTATGAATTTCTCCTAGGACTGCTTTCCCCGTGTCCCCTAGATTTTGGGTTGTTGTGTTCTCATTTTCATTTGTTTCTACGTATCTTTCGATTTCTTCCTTGGTCTAGTTGTTAACCCATTCATTCTTTAGTAACATATTATGTAGCCTCCATGTCTTTTGTGTTTTTCACTTTTTTTTCTTGTAATTGATTTTGAGTGTCATACTTTTATAGTTAGAAAAGATGCTTGATATGATATCAATTTTCTTAAATTTATTGAGACTTGTTTTGTGTCCTAACATGGGATCTGTCCTAGAAAATGTTCCATGTGCACTTGAAAAGATTGTATATTTTGCAGCTTTGGAGTGAAATGCTCTGAAGATATCAATTAAATCCATCTAATCCAGTGTGTCATTTAAGGCCACCCTTTCCTTGTTGATTTTCTGTCTGTAAGATCTATATCCATTGATTTCAAAAAGATGTTAAAGCCCCTACTATGACTGTATTTCTGTCAATCTCTTCATGTCCATCAAGATTTGCTTTACATATTTAGGTGCTCCTATGTTGGATGCATAATGTTTACAAGGGTTATATCCTCTTACTGGATTGCTCCCTTTTTATTATGTGGTGTCCTTCTTTATCTCTTAATAGAACCTTTGCTTTAAAGTCTGTTTTGTCAGATGTGAGTATTGCTACCCAAGCTTTTCCTTATTTCTAGTTATATGAAAAAATTTTTTCTTCCCTTTACTTTTAGTTTGCATGTGTCTTTCATTCTGAGCTGAGTCTTTTGTAGACAGCACATATATGGGGCTTGTTTGCTTACCCATTCAACTACCATTTGGCCTTGCATTAGCGTATTTAAGCCATTTACATTTAAAGTGATTATTGATAGGTATGTATTTTTTAATTTCTTTTTTTAAATATATTTAATTGATTACGTTATTATAGTTGTCCCGGTTTCTTCCCCCTTGCCCTCTTCTGCCTGATAACACCCCTTCCCTCCAGCAGTCCCCACCCCAAGTTTATGTCTGTGGCTTGTGCCTATAACTTCTTTGGCTTTTCCATTTCCTGTACTGTTCTTAACATCCCCCTATTTTGTACCTACCAATTATACTTCTTAGTCCCTGCATCTTTTGCCCCATTCTCCACCCTTACCCTCCCAGCTGATAACCCTCCATGTGATCTCCATTTCTGTGATTCTGTTCCTGTTCTGGTTGTTTGCTTAGTGTTTTTTTTAATTCAGTTGTTGATAGTTGTGAATTTGTTGCCATTTTAATGTTCATAGTTTTGATCTTCTAAAATTTGATGTATTTCTTTTGTCTCCTTTATTTCTCTTTTCTCCTTTCACTGGCCTTTCTTTCCTTTTTGTTTCAAATGGAGGTTGCATGGGATATTTTATTTTATATTTCATTCCCCCCCAACACATACATCATGAATATTTCCACAAGCAATTACCCTTATTCCAAAATAGTATTTAAAGTATTATACATGGACATTGTTTATTTCATTATCTCCTGTTGGACATTAAAGAATTTTTTTGCTCTTGAAAAACAATAATTAGGTATTATAATTTCCTGGGAACAATTCTTACCATGAGACATGTTGTTTTATGGAAAAAGATAGTTTGCTTTTTGCCCTCAATCCACAGCATATCTAGGTGTGACAGAGAAGGTAACATACTAAAGAATGCTCTTAGAAATTTAAGGAAAAGTGTAAATGATGTTTTACGCTAATTTAATAGCTCTGCATATTACTAGGTGTTGTGGTGGTTCCTTTGCCTTAACTGACCACACGTCTGAGATTGCCTCAGTTTACTACAGATTTCTGACCAAGGGGCTTATTTTCATGAGTAAATTTATTTATTTATTTATTTATTTAGTATTCCTTTTTCCCCCCAATATTTTTTAAATTTTATTTTAA